GCAAATACCGAAAACTTAACATTGAAGATAATAAAGTAATCGGCGAGATAACTAAAAATTTATCTATCAGATAAATAGTAGATATGGAAGTCGCAAGCGATAGCAAAACTACTAAAAAATTTATAAAATAGTAAAAATACTGAAAACATCTCTTTCCTTTTTTAATATTATTAGTCATTGGACATATAATAGAAATTCGAAACATGAAAAAAATAAAGCAATATAGTCTAGAATTTAAATTTTTAGTATTTTTCCTTATATTTTGACGAAGAAACATTTTTGCAGCTAACACCAAACAGAACCTATTTAGAGAATAGTTGGACGAACAGTGACGCTTTCGTTTGAAAAGAAATTAATATATAACAATGATTATTCTATTTAACTTTCCTTTTACTATCATTTAAAAAACTATATAAGATTTTCGTTGTAATTGCAGTAATTCATGCATTCTTTGTTAAAATATTTGTATACTACGTCATCAAATATTCAGTTTAACGTAGAGAGTTTATGGGTTTTAGCGGAAATCGATTTTAACAGAAATTTATATACAAGAATTTGAGCTTGTACATATATATAGTTATTTTTAATCGATGTACTTGAAACTACCTCGTTGCATAAAAATATTGTACATTTTAAGGGCTTTTATACTTTAAATTTGAACATCGTAATTTTGATTGAAAGCTTAAATTCTACCATTAGATTGATTTTTATTGCTATTAAAATTAAATTAGTCTGCAATTTTCTTTTTACTTATAAGGTTTTTATCAGTTTTTCCTTTCTCCCTATTTTCTTTTTTCAGAAATTTTGATTCATGAAAATGCGATATCGCTTATTTAATTTATTATATCTTGATAATTGCGCAAATTTTGCGCAAATGATGAAAGCACTATAAGCAAAATACTTACTTTTACAAGTACTTTGTTAAGTTTGAAATTTATTGCAGTTGCCAGTGTTTTTGCAACATTTTTAATGAAAGAAATAGTACCATTTTTGGTTTTGATTTTTCAATTTTTTTCAAGATAATTTCATTAAAATGTTTTCAGAAAATTTCATTAATAAAGTATTTTTTTTCAGTTCATTATAAATTTGTTCATCCACTCTTCTTTTCGCAATAAATTTAATTCTAGAGAAAATAATTATAATTTTCAACTCTTTTAATTTTTTGGGGGATATTTTCTTTACAAATGTAAATAATATTTGATTTTTTACAATTTATTTTATAACCGTCGTTGAACAGCCGACTCAAACTTTTGGGTTTACGACTACTAATGTTCAACTCCGTAGCCTTGTAATTTTGATACCAATCCAGAAGACAAGGGGTCTCCTGGAACAAATATTGGGAGAAATTTGCCTTCGTAGAGTACTTTTTGATGGGACCAACCCGCATTTGCGATCACGAGAAAATTCCACGGTTAGCCTCACGCTAAAGGGACTCTAACCCATGATCCGTCTACCACTGAGTATATTTTACGTCAGCATTATCGTTGGTGTAAGCCGGATGTCCACTCGTTTCGACCAGCCATCGCTGGGGATTCGAACCCGGTACACCTCATTGGAGGCGAACGCTCTATCCCTGAGCCGGCGGCTCAAATGCAAATAATAGGAAGCATTAAGAAGTTTACACTCTAGGAGATGCGTATTGTCGTCAGAGTGCTGAAAAATTGCGTCGATTTCTTTCCTTGCTACTGGTACGCTTACTTAAGCTTAACTTAAACTTAAGTAAGCACATGAGTTATTAACCCCTTCTCTGGCGGAACTTTTTTCGAATTGCCAACCCCCAAAAAAAGCTTTTTTTATTGTTGAAAATTAATATATGTTTTATACTAAATTTGGAAAGGTAAAATATTTTTGTCAGTAAGCAGTTTTTTGCTAGACATATAGGTGGTGAAATATGTGATTTAACTCCACTGATCTTCATGGTTCTCCTGCACTGTGATAGCATATTTTTCACTTTAAGGTGTCTAAAATAAATATCTGTTAAAAAAAATATTAAAATTAGGTAAAAAAATATCTTGGGAAATAATTTTCTACCTTACCGTTAAAACAGCTTTAGAATCAGACTTGGGAATCAGGGCGTAAAAAGATCACATTTATAACAAAACCGTCCCGCAGTGGACTGATCGTTAAGACACGGTTCCCAGCAGATCACCGAAGTCAAGCATCACTGGCTACGGTCAGTGTGCGGGTGGGTGACCACTTGGATCAGTCTGCGTAGGGACCGAGGGTGTGCGGTATTGGTCCTCGTTAAACTGTGCTACCGTAAAGTGCTCGACTTCGCGCGCAGGTCGTCGGGCTACCGAAGCGGGGGTGCCATCCCCTCCGCAGAGGATCAAAATTGTGATGGCATGTCTTCGGATCATCCTCCGGGATGTTTCCCAGACCGTCGCCAATAGCCCATTGTGCAGCTCTAGTGCGGCGTAAATTAACAACAACAACAACAANCGACTACTAATGTTCAACTCCGTAGCCTTGTAATTTTGATACCAATCCAGAAGACAAGGGGTCTCCTGGAACAAATATTGGGAGAAACTTGCCTTCGTAGAGTACTTTTTGATGGGGCCAACCAGCATTTGCGATCACGAGAAAATTCCACAGTTAGCCTGACGCTAAAGGGACTCTAACCCATGATCCGTCTACCACTGAGTATATTTTTCGTCAGCATTATCGTCGGTGTAAGCTGGATGTCCACTCGTTTCGACCAGCCATCGCTGGGGATTCGAACCCGGTACACCTCATTGGAGGCGAACGCTCTATCCCTGAGCCGGCGGCTCAAATGCAAATAATAGGAAGCATTAAGAAGTTTACACTCTAGGAGATGCGTATTGTCATCAGAGTGCTGAAAAATTGTGTCGATTTCTTTCCTTGCTACTGGTACGTTTACTTAAGCTTAACTTAAACTTAAGTAAGCGCATGAGTTATTAACCCCTTCTCTGGCGGAACTTTTTTCGAATTGCCAACCCCCCAAAAAAGCTTTTTTTATTGTTGAAAATTAATATATGTTCTATACTAAATTTGGAAAGGTAAAATATTTTTGTCAGTAAGCAGTTTTTTGCTAGCATATAGGTGGTGAAATATGTGATTTAACTCCACTGATCTTCATAGTTCTCCTGCAATGCACTGTGATGGCATATTTTTCACTTTAAGGTGTTTAAAATAAATATCTGTTAAAAAAATATTAAAATTAGGTAAAAAAATATTTTGGAAAATAATTTTCTACCTTACCGTTAAGACAGCTTTAGAATCAGACTTGGGAATCAGGGTGTAAAAAGATCACATTTATAACAAAACCAAAATAATTTATTACAGATTATTTTTGTCTCTTTTTTGTCGTGAAAAGTACATAATGATCTCGATTTAAATTGAGGGCGAGAAATCTCACCTCGAAGCTTGTGAAGAAAGAGGGACTAGTTGCGCCATCTCTTAACAATATTCAGAAATACAAAAATAATCTTGGGATTTAAAGAGAATTCTAAGTAGCGACGAATTCAATTTCAATAATGCAAGCTTTCTCTTCGTCACATGGCATGCGACTCCGACCACTCGGGCACTAAAACGCCGAAAGAACTAGATGCGACGCCAATAGTGAGAAAGTTAAACTTATAGGAGTAAGTTTAACTACTAGTTAGATGTTTGTAATAATATTTTAAATTTAATTTATGAAATTCAATGCAATCGTTTGTTTAGTTATTCGATTTAATATGTTCGTATGTTTTTTTAAAAGTTATCGAAGCTAAAGAAGACAAAAAGTACAAAATGATCTTGATTTAAATTCAAGGCGAGAAATCTCACTACGAAAATTGCGTAGAAAGAGGAACTAAATGCGCAATAGCCATTGCTTGTCGTAAACTAAGAATTGGGCTAGCTGTGTTCAAGGCTGATCAGACGTTTATAAAATAAAATGAAATAAAATAAAATAGATGTATTAATATAGTTGGTGCTTTTTTAATTCGATGACTTTTTTTTGTTTCAATTGCAAGATATATTTCAGTTTTTAGTTCCCTTTTGCCAACGACTAAAAGGAATTTTATCTTCTTAAGATGACTATTAAAAGCATCAAAACTGGTTTAATTGTCTGATGAAAATTGGAGATATTTCTAATGACTGGTTATCAATGTTTTTGGCTCCAACTTGCAGAAATTAAACTTTTGATGCTTTTAGTTCTGCCTGTTATTATTTGTTAGAGTGCAATTGCGTTTTTCGGTTTTTTCTTCCTTTAAAATTTAACTTGCGACCGAAATTGTGAACAGTTTTTTGGAAATGGTTTTTTAAAATATCTATAGTGATGGCAAAAAATAGTAACTGTTAAACATGTTCTGAAATCAGATCAAGAATCTAAAAATATGTGAAAGTATGTAAATATTTTCTTAATTTTTGTGAACGTGTACCCCGAAATGTACTTCAATTTTGCTCGTTTCAGCATTTTCAGTTAAATACAAAACTGAAATAGCATAATAAAAATCGGGTGCAAATGTTTTAACATGGTGATATCTTAACCTTATCGATCCTATTTAATTTTGAAAAAATTTATCTGTCGACATGAAATTTGGTTATCGTCAAACTAGGGCAACTACCTGGGTGTGGGGACCATGTCATTAGACAGGCATTTTCTAAAGAAAAAACAAACTTATCTACTTTCATTCTTTTTTTATCTGTCATGCTTTTCTCGAGATTGCACAATTTTTAAACTATTTATATCTTTTTTTTCATTTTGTGAAGAAAGCATCATTTGTAAACCGAAAAGTCAAAACCTCTAACTCAAACTTGAGTCCTTTTTTTATGGAAAATATAAATCTGCAATAAATAATAGGCATCTTTATAATTATTTTTAAATCAGAAGTTGCCTTCACCACTCTCCAACGGTGCAGACTAGAGAGTTGAATCTAGTATTCAGTGCATGTTTTGGAAAACATTTCTCGTGCTTTTATTCGATTCGTAATATTCGAGATATTTGTTAAGGGTGGTGATTAAGAAACACCATGTATTTAATAAGACTAGCAATGTTCATGAAACGTACATTATACTGGTTTTTTTATTCACTTTCTTCATTTCACATCGATCGAACAAGGGCTTTTCCAGCCTCCAAATAATTTATGCAACTCAAGAGCTGCAGCTATTGTTATGTGATCTTTGCAGTGACCGCTAACTGCTTGTACACCAAATGGAACGCCATCATGCAAACCTGCAGGTATGTTTGTTGATGGCAGTCCTACCAAATTGAACACAGCAGTATATATGACATTTCGAAATTTTGGTATGTCCAAAATGGTAAATGGCGGTGGTTCAGGGTGAGTTGGTACTAAAAGTATGGCATCCTCTTTAAAAATATCCTTGAATTTTTGTTTGAGTGAGTCAACTTGCTTTAAACAGTCATAGTAGTGCTGGTCTTTATCACGTTTTTCAGTTATTGAGTAATAAACACATGGTAAAGTATGGTTGGACATTCCTAATATACTTTTCAAAAGTTCTAACCCCACGTTGACTTTACCTTGCTCGTCAGCTAGTACAAGTTTAAAAGGTGGGAGGCCCGTTTCTAGAAATTTTGCTTCAAGTAAGTCAAAACCGTACTTTAACTCTTTCAGTTTTAGAGGAAGTGCCTTTACACCATATTGTTCTTCAAAATGTTTTGTTGCCTGAAAATAATAAAAAAAACAATAGATGTAACTATATTTTACCTATTTTAGCATACACATTTGAAATTAAACATCCCCATGGGAATATTATATGTTCAAATAAATCAATAGGGATTTTCGGCGTAGGCGTAATAAGATGAAATAGTGGTGTGCCCTATGGCAGAATTGAAGAAGTAAATGTGCAGCTCTTGCTTCATAATTAATTTTCAACTTCACCCTTGTCAGGTAAAAATTATTATTGTAAAAACAAAGTTTGGTCTAACATATGAGAGAGTGAAGTTAGACCGGGTACACTGTTTGTGTCAAAATTAGTTTCGCTTTCAAGCGGACAAACTGTGAATTATATTTTGCTATTCAAGAAGAGCATAAAATATAGGTGTGTTGTTTAGATTAATTCCTAGATAGATTGTTAGATTTTCCTATGTCAACTCTCTAATATTCTTGAGTTTTTTAACTATTTATTGGTCACTACAGTTACGAAAAATTATTTTTAGTACAGCTTCACTGTAAATGAATGTCTTTCAAAATTGCTCAAAAATGTGTAAAAATAGACCGGGTACATTGTTTGTGTCGAAATTAGTTTCGCTTTCAAGCGGACAAACTATGAATTATATTTTGCTATTCAAGAAGAGCATAAAATATAGGTGTGTTGTTTAGATTAATTCCTAGATAGATTGTTAGATGTTCCTATGTCAACTCTCTAATATTCTTGAGTTTTTTAACTATTTATTGGCCACTACAATTACGAAAAATTATTTTTAGTACAGTTTCACTGTATATAAAGGTCTTTCAAAATTGCTCAAAAATTTTTAAAAATAGACCGGGTACATTGTTTGTGTCGAAATTAGTTTCGCTTTCAAGCTGACAAACTATGAATTATATTTTGCGATTCAAGAAGGACATAAAATATAGGTGTGTTGTTTAGATTAATTCATAGATAGATTGCTAGATTTTTCTTATGTCAACTCTCTAATATTCTTGAGTTTTTTAACTATTTATTGGTCACTACAGTTACAAAAAATTATTTTTAGTACAGCTTCGCTGTAAATGAAGGTCTTTCAAAACTGCTCAAAAATGTGTAAAAATAGACCGGTTATATTGTTTGTGTAGAAATTAGTTTCGCTTTCAAGTGGACAAACTATGAATTATATTTTGCTATTCAGGAAGAGCATAAAATATAGGTGTGCTGTTTAGATTAATTCATAGATAGATTGTTAGATTTTTCCTATGTCAAATACAAAAAATTATTTTTAGTACACCTTCACTGTAAATGAAGGTCTTTCGAAATTGCTCAAAAATGTGTAAAAATAGTTCCGAAATCAATATAGGCGAATTTAAAATCCCCATGTGCTCATTGTTGAGTATAGTGACATGCTCAAAATTGAAACATCTCTGAGAATCTGTTTTCATTTGTAAATAACCGTGAAGACAGTGTTGGAAAGTATTGATTACCGGTCTGAAGACATTCTTTATTCGTGAAATAAATGCGGAATGAAGGTAAAGGCTGTAAACTTTTATCGAACTGCATTTTCCTATCGAATATTTGAGTGTTATAATCTAACAAAATTTGAATTCAGTCACGTTTTATGGTGATATTTAATTTTGCCACGATTTTTTTGATTTTTGTGACATTACATTTTGTTGAAAAATTAGTATATAGAGTGCTGCTTCAGTTTTGAGCATGTCACTGTATTGAACCTATGTACTCATATTGAGATAATAATGAGTACTTAAGCTGCATAGAACACAATAAAAACTGATAGCAACTTAATAACTTAGAACAATTAACACTTAATACTAACTTTCGATATAGCTTTCTTTAAAACTGGCTCAGCTGGAATGCCTGGAAATTCTTCTATGAAGTATATTTTCACTTCCTTGAAATCAACCTGGAAATAAGTGATTTCAAAAGATTAATTGTATCTTTGAATTCGTTTGAATGATAAATTCAATGGTAAATATACAAACACACATCAATGCAAGTTAATACTCTGATTGCTAGCATCGAAAGAAAGTATCGCTTACAAAGTATAATAAAGTTGATTTGCTTTCAATTTTTAAAATCTAGTAAATTCCGCTTTGCAATAAATATTGATTTACAGTTGCGCCATAAAATAATCAATCCAATATTATCACCTAAAAAATTTTGCAGCTCTTTATTTTTTTGAAAAAAAAAATGTGTGTTCCGTGTTTGTTTTCTAAATCCTTATCAAAAATGAAGAATTGATAGTATACACCATGAAGATGCGAAGTGAATCAGGTTGATGTATGAAACACAAAACTCTGTTTGATTTCAGTAGAGGCTAGAAAAAAGTTGAAAAACCTTCTTTTAGATGTTAGTTGAAATCACTTAAGAGCCAGGGTCTTAAAAATTGGGCAAATAGGTTGGTGCTAATATTTCTGATTTTGTTAAAATTTTTATAAAAATGTTCTTTATATAAAACTATCGCACACGTTTTTTTTCCTTCATATTTTCGAGCAAATATTTTTTTAAATGCTTCGGTGGGTCAAAACTGAAGATGCTCTGAAAGTTTGAGAATAGCCATTTGAAGTTTTTTCGTAAAATCATAGAAAATAGCATAATTACAAAGATTTTTGAATGAACTTTGACCTTCTATGCAAAGGTCCATTGAAAGTATATACGTCTTAATAGTTAGTGTGGATGTAGTAAAACACAAAATATCTGTCAACACCGTGATTTATTCACTTCACAAAAATTCTTGCTGAATGGTTGCGTAGATGTGTTTTTCTCAAACCAATTTCTCAATCAATCATGGCCCCTTAAGACCATGAAAAATTTGGTATACTGGTGCTATTTTGATCAAATATCTGACATTATGAATTTTCGAATGAATGAAGAAATTGGGTGCACTGCCTCTTATACAGATAACGGGAACTGCTCTACCACACAAATCGGGAAACTAAAAATGTAGATCAAAATAGTTCTTAAACGAATTTACTCCCTTGTATAACTTCACTTTCCTTAATAATTACCTGACTTTTCAACTGTAGTTTGGGATTGTTGTCCGATAAAACTTTCATCAAGAGAGTTAAATCTTCGGGATATCTGCACATGGGACCTGTAGTATTGATGTAGTCAAACGGCATCTTTTCTGGTTCAATCCAAGGATAATAGCCCCGATTTGACACAATACCTATTATAAAATCAAAAGCAATACTTCAGTAACAAAAGAAAGCATTTCCCGAGATAATATAGGTGTAGATAATATTTTTTTTCTACAAAAAATGTCTTATTGTAGAAATTAATGTTTTTATAGACGAGTTTTCAGACACAGAATATTTAGAGACCATCTGGAAAGCTGTTTGCGAACACACATTAAATAGCATATTATTATTAAAAGATTTGCGAACATAAATAAAGGTTTACAGCTTATCATAAAATAAAATAAAATCTATAGGAAAGGTTGCTATTGCTGGACTTTGTTTTTGGCAACTGATTTTAGCGCCAAGTTTGGCGATTTTATGGTTTTGTGCATGTGATATAATTATCACCTCCCGCATAATCAGGCAAAGTTTTTATATTAATAAAATAGTAAACATTGTAGTAATGAAACAAGCACCATCGTCCTACTGATGGAAACCGGTCACCAGGCCTTTTTCGGTCAGGAATTACATAGGAATAAGCAGCTAGCTATTCTTTTTCTTTATACAAATCAATAAAATGCTGCAAAATATAAGCCAGGGTGACTCGGGAGAGAAAATACATTTATTCAAATTGAGGACTAGATATCGAAAACGACTTAAATACCAAAAAAATTAAAATCAGAAATCTATTTTGTTAAGGAAAAATTACCTGTAGACCAAGCTAAACAAAGTGGAGAATACGCAAAAAACAAACTACAGTAGTATTAGTTTCAAAATTTATCGAAAGATCGCGTTGGTTGAATGTGCCATGCGCAATGAAGTGAAGAATGTCCAAAACGCTCATCAGCGCTCAGTAATAAGACGCCCGGCATTTTGTTCCGGTACTATAAAAGTAATACGATAAAATTAACGATAATTACTATAAAAATAACGAATACTTTATGATAAAAATAACGTCAACAACAAAAAGGTATTTAAAAACTGAATGGAAGGAAATTAACACGTAAGATGCTGTTGGCTACGAAGTAATACCTCCTAAAAGAGAGAGAAGGTCTCAGCAAGAGTTATCATAAACAAGAAATTTGATCTTTTAGTAGTCTAAAAGTAATGATATATTTCGTATTTATCCCCACGATGCAGCTTAATAGTCCGAACGCAGTGATATTTTTCTTATTTTTCATCCACCAAGCAGTTTATGTTCATTTCGTGAGACTACTAAATTGATCCGCGCTGAGGCCTTCTCTCTCCTGGGAGATAATTTTTTTTGTACTTAGGTCGTTTTCCATTTCTAGTCCTCATTTGTTAGAGCGATTTTCAATACATCAAGACTTTTGTTATTCGCTACTATATCTAAAAAGAATAAATTAGATTATAACCTAATTCAGATTTAATTACTCTGAATATCTTTTTACTAAATCATATTGCGGAATTTATTGTAAAACTAGAAAAATAGTATAAAAGGTTCAAAAGTCCATTCATAATAACTGAGGCTGGCTCACTAAAGGAAACTAGCAATCGGTATGCAATTCATTCACAATTTCTCTTATAAAAAGGTAAACGATGATTTAATATGGCAAAAAGAGCACTGATTAAATACTGTTTTAAGTCTTATTAAAAACACTTAACACTAACAACAATTGACTAATATGCATAGTCTTTTTATGTCTAAAAAAATAATGAATTTGTACTTTCTCGTACTGAACTTATTATTATCAACTTTAATTTCCTAAAGCATGCAGAACAGGGAGCTCCTGCTTTTGAAAACTACAAAATAATAGAAGTGACCTAACAAAGTAGTCTTGTCAATGATAGCAACTTTCTCCCAAATATATAATATTATGTAATATTAATGTATAAATATGATGAAAAAAATTATAAATATTAAAAAATTATAATCATTCAACGATGAAACATTATTGCTGGTTGAACACTAAACTATAAATTATTTTAATGTTAATTTATTATACTCCCTTATAGATCTCTCAAAACATTTTATTTTCCTAGACCACTTATGGAAAAAATTTTTCTCGCTAAAGCTGAGCTATAATTATTACAAATATATTGCACAACTCATTACAAACCATTGCATTGAAGATAAAATATTATCAATATTCATTAGTCACCCAGTTACAGGATTTGCCTGTGCAAATAAATGTGTTTGATTTTACTGTGAAACGAATACAAGTCGTTGCAAGCTCGGGCCTGTTAGAGTCTGTGCACTATAGATCCAACTTACACATTCACTTTTCTAAGTTGTCTCTGAGCTACATGAGAGTGAGGACACTCATTTTTGCAAAACTTGTTTTCAATTTTCTTAAAATAAGCTATGCAGCATGCTACGGCATCTCTAATATCATCAAGTCTTGTGCGTTCATGAGTTTATGACAATGCCATGTCTACCAATAGCACAAAACATTTTTGAAGGTTATAAAGAATCCCTGGTTAGAAAACAACTAACGATTACTAAGGACAAAAAATGAAATGGTATGACTAAAATCTGTATTTTATACCATTGAGTGTTCGTTTGAGGATGCAAGCATTAAACATTCCAAAATCCTAAACGCGACGTTAAGGATGGTTTTAAACTTCACTATGTAATGCACCTTGCCATATGTCTTCTTTGCGACCCACTTTCTGACCGATTAAAACAAGTCAATGGTTTTCTAAACGCCCTAAGGTGACACCCCTACACTTCTTGTTCTCTTGTTTGAAAACTCATATGAATAGACATAATCGTTGCAGAATGATTGTGAAGTCAAGGAGACTTGCACGAAAAAAAATCATGCATAGCATTTTTGAAGGCTATGTAAGCGGTTTATTTTAGAACCCTCCTGAACTGGAAATCTCACTTGGTGAAATATATCGAGGCAGGAGGAACCTATTTTGAAACCCTTTACTAAATTGTACAGATCCGGTCAAAGAATGTTTTTAATGACTCTGTTATATTACTTTCTGGACAAATCCAGTATATCACTAATTAAATTACTCAGTTATTTAGAAAACGATTGAAAAATAAGCTGTATATTTAAGTCAGTTAAAGAGTAAAATTAAGTAGAGTACGAACTAAATTAATGAAAAACGGGAAAAAGATGTACAGTAACTTACTGTACCCACTTACCGCATGAAGGTTTATGTCCATAGATACTGTTGAAGGCTGAAGGTATTCTTATACTTCCACCAAGATCTGTACCAATACCAATCACTGCTCCAGCTGATGTAATGAGTGTTCCCTCACCACCTGAAATTGAAGTTTGATTCGCAATGTTAAATTGTAATAGCTCTTCTTCTTTGTCGGCGCAACAGCCCCTTGCAGGCCTTGGTTACCTCAACAGCTGACTAACGCCAGCGCCTCCTATCCATGGCAAGTCCCTTCCAATTTCTAAACTTTAGGGTTTTTAGATCTCATTTTCGATGTCGTTGAACCATCTAGTAGGGGGACTACCTCTGGGACATTACCACTCGGGATTCTTAAAAGTGACAATTCCCATGGCGCTAGTTTCAGGACTTCTCCATAGATGGCCCAATCATCTCAGCCTATTACTGCGGATTATTCATAAACTATACTAGTTAATGTAGAAAATTATTAGAACGATAAAAACTAACATCCAAAATTTTTCTTTAAAATATTATTTCTGAAACCAACGAAGTAAAATGATTTATTTGAATTTCAAAAAAAATTTTTTTTCGATTATTTATAGTACATTATTGAATTTGCTGAGGGTCAGTATGTAAATAAAGAAAATTGAAAAAAGAAAATTTATTTCTAAACTGTATGTTTAAACGTCAGAAATGTATCATTTTAGAATTATATCAAGACTGATTCCGAGAATATCAACTGACAGCTAAATGCATACTGCGGAACGTTAAATGTATGGAACGAAAACGCAATGAATAAGGCTTAAAAAGTAACATAGAGGTTAAGGTGACCAGATATATAAATAATGATTTGAAGACAAATCAGTGGAGCGTCCTTGAAAAATTTTACGATTTGAGAACACCATACATTTTTAGAAATACTAATATATATGTGCAACAATTCCTTTTTTAGAATTATAACTAATATTAAGTGTAGAAACATCTTCAAACTTGATTTCATTACTAAGTTCTGAAATATCATCTAATATTCTGTTAAATTAAAATTTGCTTATTTTTAATGAAATTATTTTAAAATTGCGTTTTCACTTGTTAGTTTTATCATGGTGTTTTTTGGTTTCTCATTTATAATAGCACTAAGACAAAACTTTTTTTCTGAAGAAAAACAAGCGCATTTTCGATTTTTTTTTCATCTTTCACTGCATATAAAAAACAGATTATATCTTTTCATTGAAATTCAAATGTATTTGAGGACGCATGTTAAAATTTGGAAACACTTTCTGTCCTCAAGGAGTTTGAAAATTTTGAGGAGAATCAATGAAATTCGAGAACTGTCCTGAACCTTAATTAAAGAGTCTGGTCACCTTAATTAAAGAGCACAAACTTTCGACCGATAACTTGAATTAATTATTGAGGCAATATTTTAAGCTGAAATCTATTTTTTCACTATCTTTGGGTTTGAAGAACTGAATTCGTCGAATGAAATGAATCTCATTCAAGTAAAGACACTTTTGCGTCTAAACTATAAATAAGCATATCTTTGGTGAAAATTTATAACTCTACAGTGTTTAGGGGTAGACAACGCTGTTTCAGCTTGTCCATAGCTATGGTAAAAAATCTATTATCAATAGGCAAAATCTAAACATTTTATCAAGTTAATCTCAACTGCTAATCAGCAGGATGGAAGATTTTTTGCCCTAATAATTTCTCTCTAAATACAATGGCACATTTCTTTCTAAAATCATAAAAATCCGGTTAATAGATCAAAAATTAATTATTTTCTTTTAACGACTGAACACCTTGTAGAGAATTTCGTAAGATTATACCTGAACTGCCACCAGGTATCTTTCTGTTATCATATGGATTCTTAGTTTTTCCAAACGGAATGCTTGATGTATCCCACCACAGGCACAATTCTGGAATATTAGTTACAGTCACAGGTATAGCGCCAGCATTCCTGTATAAAGCTGGTGCATCACCGTCATTCTCTGCAGTTCTATCTTTATCTTTGTATAATCCAGCTGTTTGGCGCAAACCTACGAGAAATTATTAGAAAATTTTTAGTGCAAAAAAATAAAATTTTTAATGAAAAACGTGATAGCATCCAAGAAATTCTTTAGTATTTTCTAAACTTTTCAGTTCACTTAATCTCTTAAATGGCTTTAAAAAGTTTCGCACTGTTGATATTATAATCGAGAATATTTGACACGATAACCTAATATTCAAACTCAGTTGGTGGTACAAACTAATACACAAAATGCACAGAACGTACACACTCAAAATGTACAGAACGTAAAAAAATAAATAAATAAACGGACCACCCGGAATAACCATTCTAGGGCTGAATCTTTATTTTAAATGGAGTGGACATTAAATATGCTAATTAATTAGTGCAGATGATATTTCAAGTTACGAAACCAGGCACAAAAGCTTACTTCCTCTGTATAAACATTCATTTTTTTCGACGGATTCAAATTTTTGACCCCAAATTATTGGGATTGCTGCAATATGGGAAATAAGGTTTTATTAGTTTGGTCGGGAGAGCATTTAATGTTAATTTTACTTTTTGCATATTTCACCACGTGTCGAGAACTTTTCAAGCGAATCGAAAAATTTTGAGCACAATTATGTATTTATCCAATTACTCGTTTATCCAAAGATGCGTGGAAAAAAAAATAAATATTTATTAATTTTTATTATTTTATTTAATAGTCAGTAAATCTTTATTATTTTATTTAATAGTTAGCAAGTATTTGTTAATATTTATAATTTTATTTAATAATAGTTGAAAAATTTTGAATTGTAGGGTATACCATTTTTCACATCATTTTAAAGTATGTAATCTTACATGCCAACAAAAAAAAGGAGCGAAATGAGACGAATAGTTCCCAAGAAATCAAATTTTAAAAGTGAGACTTTTTTTAAATTTCAATTTCTTTTGAACTATTCAACCGATTTCGCTCAATTTTTGTAATCTGCCATGCATAATTGCATTCTTAAAAATGGTGCAAAAAATTGAATACCTTGCAGTTCAAAATTTTGTCAACTATGATTAAGTGAAGTAATAAAAAGAATAATAATATTTCTTAAAGGTTATTTATTGCAAAGAATTTTCTTTCGATAAACGAATTTTAGAATTATGCGCTTACATAGGCTCTCGAGATATGGGAAATTATAAATTTAACGCTAAGGATTCCAGACGTTAGACCGCTCTCCTGACCGAATCACACGAAAAAAGTTTTGTTTGTCTGCAGAAAATCCGTTTTTGTGTCCAATTTCGTAACTTAAATTATCGTCTCAACTAACTAATTAACAAATTTCAAGTGAGTCCATTGAACCATTGAGATTGAATCCTAGAACTCGAAGATCCGATCCTTAAATCAAAAGTTATTCAGGGTGGTTCATTTTCTTGCGCACAGCACATTTCACACTAACTTTAAAAAAAAAAACTATGAAATTGTGGTTTAAGACATTGATCTGACTTAAAAGAAGTATCAAAATTATATTCATCATATGAAGAAAATTTTAAGCAAAATTTTGTTAACATTTAATTTTTTAAATTTAGATGCATTTTATTGTTGATTGTAATTACACAAATACCAATTTGTTCTGCAACGTATAAAAATAAGAAGGTTACGATCGAAAGAAAAATGTTCTTTTTTGTAATGAGTTTCACAATACATTCAAAACCTAACATATATGTTCAAACCATATACTATATGCTTTAACCATATGTGTTTTAACCATATATGTTTAAACGTGTGAAAAACAAAAGTGCCAAAATCTGCCAAATCATTAGTTAAGAAGGCAGAATATGATAACTTCAAAACCATTTTGATTGATCGTTAGAACTTCGAGATATTTTTATGAATATTCTATCAACTTATTTTATCAGCTGTCATACAGGTTTTGACGTTATGTGTAGGATCTTCCTCTGGGAATAGTTCTTAGATTTAGTTTTTTTTCCATGCTATTTTGGAACTCCGATCGACAATATATATTTTTTTTTACTTCATGTTTGAGAAGTGTTCTGAAAATGCACATTGAGGGTTAACATTTGTTCATCTCGTATTTGTTTAGTTGTTGGAGTACAAGATAGAAAATAATGTGCTTTACCTTTTACCCCTACTACTTCTTTGCAAGTAAAAGGTACCCCCAATAGTGGGGTGTCCTTCTCAATTTGTTCTGGGGTCTTTTCACCTCGTGCTAGGAAACGATCGATTTTTCTGGCATCTTCCATCGCCTCTTCATAACGTGCATCTGTTACAGCATTAATAAAGGGTTGTACAGCCTTTGCTCTGTCTACGTATGCACATACTACGTCTTCACATTTAAGCTATAAAAATATGGATAAATATTGAAAAGTTAATTGATCAAAAGAAAGTTTTTTCTTATAAAAATGCTATTTATAATAAGTTAAACTTTCATTCTCATCAATATTTAAAATATTTTGATGAAACATTGCTGTGATATTGATAAAAGTACCTTCACCGCTCGAGAATTCCCAAAATCACGTTACGACTATAGCACTCACATTACGTAATGTTCACGTTAAGTTATATATTTTAAAATTAAAATATTTAAACTTAATTTTTAAAATTAGAAAATTTAAAATTAATTTTTAAATTCAGAAAATTTAAAATTATATTTTAAAATTAGAAAATTTAAGATTAATTTTTAAAATTAAAAAATTTAAAATTAATTTTTAAAATTGAAATTATTTTTTAAAATTAGAAAATTTAAAAATAATTTTTAAAATCGAAATTAATTTTTAAAATTGAAATTAATTTTTAAAATTAAAAAATTTAAAATTAATTTTTAAAATTGAAATTATTTTTTAAAATTAGAAAATTTAAAAATAATTTTTAAAATTGAAATTAATTTTTAAAATTAGAAAATTTAAAATTAATTTTTAAAATTAGAAAATTTAAAATTAATTTTTAAAATTGAAGTTAATTTTTAAAATTAAAAATTTAAAATTAATTTTTTTTTAAATAGAAAGAAATGCTGGACGAAGCTGAGTCCTTAAGATTTATCTTACCCTAAGAATCTCTTTAAATAAAAGTGCTTTTTTTTTAAATAATAAAATCGTCCTTTGAACCATTCGCATTGGACAATTTATATTTCCAACCCATTAGAAACGCAGTCCTATTGGTTACTGCCTGTAGCTGATTCATCATCAATGATAGATATCCCTTGGACAGGTAAGTGAAGTGACGGCAGCTTAGACATCTCGTTTAATGCATGAAAGGTTGAATAAAGTGGTATAAAAAATCAATAATGTAAAAAAGCTACCCATTTTAAAAAATGGTATAAAATTTAATGCATGTAACATAAATAATGCAAGGTACATATGATTAAGTAAACATTAACTTATTTATTATTTATGTTTATGTTACCTGTCTGTTCCTGATTTTCTTGGCCAAATTTGTAGCTGATAGAAGCAAAATACTATTGTCTATTGGTGGTAAGGGTTTTGTTTTCTCCATAAAAACAAAGTAGAAAAATGATAATATCATCTCCGAGAAAGGTCTTGTTATACTCAAAAGGCATCTTATCAAACTCACCAACAAAATTACTACTGCCTGTAAAAATATTTGAAAATTAGGTAAATTTTTCCCAATATATTATTTTTAATTATTTTGATGAAGTCAAATTTCTCAAACTATAATTATAAACAGAAAAACAAAATTTTCGTTATTTTCCCGTCTTTATTTTTTATACTTTGTGAATGCAATTAGTATCCCAAAAATTATTTCCATAATTGGTGAACCAGAATACATTGATATTTGAAGTACAAAAATTTTTAAAATCCTACTACACCGAGAAAAAAATATGGGTAAAGTTTCCATAATATAATAAACTTCATAATGTTACTGCTTCTATGCGAACACCAAAGATTTGTAATCTTTACTAAAACGCTTAGCTAATGATTTTGGTAAAAATAATCCTAAAATTTAATTTTACAATATGTGATAAAATTTGAAAAATGTGGAAAAGCTTGGTAATTTTATCATGGCATAAAAAATTAGTCCTTCAGTTAAAAAATCAATCTCTTTCCAGTTCTGTATTTCTTTTAAAAATTTTTTTATGAAATGTGTGGCAATAAGAACTATAATTTTGAAAACTAGAATTTCCAGTAAACCCTTATCGTATGAACAGAAAAATTACAAAATGAATGGTTCGTAAATACCATATATTTTGATTGTTTCTATTAACAGAACTATGGTCTTTTTTTCCAGAAATGTCATTACGATACAGTAAGGTTACCTTACTGAAATTTGCTTTCTCTATGTGAAAAGCAAGAAACTAAGAGGAAATAACCGGAAATTAAATTGTTAATTCAAATTGTTTGAAAAAATATTCTGCTACCCATAAGACGTTTTAAAATGATAGAACTTTTCTAATTTTTGAAACAGTACAAGGCGGGTCAAAAAAGTTAAAGTATGACAAAATCTTCCGGAAGTAGTACAAAAAAGTTACCGTCTAGTATCATGAAGTACCATCTACCATTGGGGATATTTTACGTCAACACTGCGATCAGAGTGCACCGGGTGCTGCATTTGTAACGACCAACCATCGCTGGAATTCGAACGTGGGTCAATTTAACGGGAGAAGAGCTCTGTGTCCCGTGAAACGCTCATAAGACAAAAAGGAATGTTATTGTGGTAGCTTTGATATCCTTTGCCGCTTCAACGAGACCTAAGCTTGGATCAGTCCTTTAAACGGGTTGAAGATATAAATTCAGAAGATTTATTTCTGTATAGTGTATATATTAAAATAATAACAAAGAAAGCAATAAATGACATCAGTCAGCAATCATTTATATTATTGGTACGCTAAACTATTCTGTAAAATATTCCCTAGGAAAAAACGGTAAAAAGTACAGTCATACTGTGCACATCATATAAAATTTTGCCTTAAAATTTAATACCGTATACTTTATAGCAGTTAATTATTAAACTACAGTGATTCAGTGACCTTACAATGAATATTGCTGTAAAAATTGGGACATATCAGATTTTTGTTTCATAAAAGTTTACGGTAAAAAGCATCAGCACCCTGAGTGCCGGTGCTTTTTACCGTAAAATGTTGTAAAACTGCTAGTATCTACGTTTATTTAGAATTTACTGAAAAGAAATTTTTTATGTGCCAAATAAACAAAACAAAAACATTTTTGAGCAACTAACCCAGACTATTAGGAAGATGTAGAGAAGATGGGCATGATGGGCTCATATGAGTACTTACATGAATCAAAAATAAAATACTTGTGATCTAAGTTTCCCAATTTGGAACGTTCTATAATCAGTTATCTTCATGACTAACTTCATTAAAATTTTATAAACTGTATGGAGAGCCTACTTTTATTCACAATTTATGTCTCATGGTTGCATTTTGTTATGACTTTCTTCTGTTAACAGGCACATATGCAACTTAATTTTCATTTTTTGATCCCTATGTTGCTACCTAAATCGGTACCGACGTATAAGGACGCAGTCTAGTTCGCTGTGTCAGATAATAACTATATCAGCACTGTTGGTGGTAGGGGTCATAGTACCGAAATGATAGTCTGCTTCTCTTATATTACCCATATGCCTACTTTACCCTATGTAATAAGTCCCTATGTCCCTATGTACTAAGTGTAGTACTAACGTATAAGAACACATATAATCTTACTGACTGATTAAGACATATCGTCTCGGTATTGTTGGTATTGAAATAATTATTTGCTCCTGGCAATTCTCTATATGCGTTTTCATACGTTGAGACTATTTTATTCTACATAAGAGTACAAAAACATCGTCTTTTTCTTTTGTAACTTATGCAGTTAAAGTTTTCTGAAATAAAAGAAAAGTTAAAGATAGAGCAATGCTTTTTTTTAATATACATACAACTGAATTATTCAGTTAACGTAAAAACTTGAAACGTAAAAAGCATTGTTAATTGAAAAAAATTAATGATATACCTATAAAGGTTATTTGTAACATATTTAAAAAAATTTGAGATTTTGTTGGGGTAAAGATTATGCTTCATTGCTGTTTTACGAAACGACATAAACTTCATTTTAGGCAACTTGAAAAATGTACACATTAAAATGTTTAGTTCATTTTATTACCTTTATAACTACTAACTTTTAACGGAAAATTAGAGAAAAATGTTATTACATCCTACTATTCAGAAAATCTTGCAAAAAATGCTCACCCTGATCATTGTATTACAAATTCAATACTTCACACAAGCGAATGCCACAGTCAACCAAATCGAAGTAAATAAACCAATTTTGCTTTTAGTTGCAGTAACTCTAACTCGAAGTTTCAGATCAGAATAAGAGTTATAGCGTTTTCAAGGTCTATTAAACGTCATCGGCATTATACCTTTCATTTGTTCAGTTGATAAGAACTTTCAAGGTTAATGATAATCGAAGAAATGCACAAGAAAAATGCTTGTTTACCAGATAAATATTTTATTTAACAAACAGATGAAAGGTTGCTGAAACATAAATCTCTACTTCTGAATTTAACGTTTATTTAAAAGAGAAAAAAAAACAAGAGTTTTTCTTTTTTTTTTGTTATTTAAGAGGAGCTCTGACACGTGTTTTTCTACCAAAATAAAAAAAAATTAGATTTGCTTTAATATTTTACCTACAATTATTTTTTGAAGATTTAGCATGTTGCAGATTTATATTTTAAGTTAAAAATTTCAATTAAATAAGGAAAGTTATTAAACATTTAATACAAAGTTAAAATGATGAAAATTGAACTTTAAGCGACTTGAACCTTGTTGCTCATCCAGTTGGTTGATTGAAAGGAGTAGCATGGACACTAACACCGGTACGCAGCTGAAGAATATAGCTCTGCACCGATGCCCCCGGAGAGAGCATTTATCAGAAAAACACTTTGGCTAGGAGAACATGAAAGATTGTTGACACACCATGCCTCCTCCGAAGAGTGCCCATCCACGGGCCCTCCCCAGACACTCCAACATAGCTATCAGAGTTAGGCCCGATGTCTGACCTGATGTCCCTCCAGGATCCCTAATTTATTGTTAATTTATTACTTTACAATGATTTAGAGAACAACAGATAATTTTAAACATCGTTTAACTATTGTAGAGCATTGACTACTGACATTAAAGACGCGTGGGAGCTGACAGCCAAAAACAGCGACCAAACAGAAGAAGCATGGCTAAACATTGCGTTTTCTGAAAACACATTTGGATAAACAAATACATTACATGAGATAATATAGAAAAAACGATAATATGCTACAGAAAAATTTGTGAATAGTTTTTCACTCTCCCGAAAAAGTGATCTGTCATACCTAAGTGATGAACAGCTAATTTCCTAGGTACCGTCATGTGGGGCTACTTTATGCAGGATTTCGCAGTTTTTGAACTTTGACCTTTAAAAAAAAACTATATTAATTCAAACTTTAGTAAAATTTATCGATATTATATTCATAACTGAACTCAGACGAGTGAATTTGATCAATATTGGCATTATTTGTATGTAATATTTACAAATAATAAGTCAAAACATACCTTGCACAAAGTAGCCCCCAAGTGGGGCTACTTTGTGCAGCGATAGGGATTCAGTTTAATAATCATGTTTTTAGTAAAATATTGATACAAAATTGTTAAAAAAGTTAATTGTTGACATTTTTAATAACAAAAACATCAAGATATGTAAAGATATTAGTTTGAAAATAATTTTCAGCGTTAAAAAACTATTTTTTCTTAAAAAGAATGTTTATTTAGAAACATTTGAGCTTAAACAAAAGGAAACCATATACATTTTTGAACATTGAAATGGATAAAATTTCAAAAATAATAATTATTACATATTTATTAGCATTTATAATATTGATAAATTTGAACATGACATGCTTGAATGAACATGACAGAACTTGCTCCTCAGTTTCTGTCAAAATCACCTGATGTACTATAAAATATATTTTTATGTGTTAAATCGTTTGCTTAATTCATTAGAAAAATCTTTGTAGAAGAAAAATAATAGTTTATCAGCATATTTCACGTGTTTCTTGTGAATTTTATAAGAGATAGTATTTCTGTGGATTTTGTACTTCCGAGAAGCTTCTGCAATCGACATACCACCAGCAACTGCTTGCAAACATTGTTGCAGCTTTTCTAAAGTGTAATTATGGTAGTTTCTCGTTCGAGGTATTTTTTTAATGACGTCTGACAATTTTTCTGTCGAAAAAAAAACGAATGAAAATTTGCACAAAGTAGCCCTACAGTGCATTTTTTTTGATTTTCCGTTTATTTGTTATTAATTTTCAAATTTTTTAAACGCTCACATGATATAATTGTTTATTGATATATAAATAAAATATTTTGCACTTACGACAATTGTTTTATCTACGTCTTTGCATTTCACAGCTAAAGTTTCCACGCACACTTTTCGACGTCCGACGTTCTCGGAAAGTTGTTAACATTGGATAAGCAAAACACACTCTGAGATTGTTTTAAAATTTTAAAAATTTTTTGTAGTAATAGAGGATACTTCTACCTTCAAATTCCACACATTTTTAACGTGAAAAAAACATAATACTGAATAGCAGCACTTGAAAAGTGCCAAATTCGAATTTGCACAAAGTAGTCCCTGCTGCACAAAGTAGTCCCACATGACGGTACCTCGAAATAGCAATCGGCCCTCATCAGAGTTCTTGAGGAAGTGTGCATGCTGGTGAGGTGAAACTTGATTTAACTGATCATTTCTATGCGACACGAACTTTGTCATTTGCCCTCTTATTGCTCTCTTCGTATTTGCAGATTCGGTACATGTACTATAATGTATAATGTACTATAACTTCTAGCCATCACCTCCTTCCACTAACTTTGTAATTGCTAATTATGAAAAGGAATACAATTTCAGAATGAGCAAGATATTTTCACACGTATTGCAACTAATTTACAAATTTTAACCGACAATAAATTTTGGCATTTGATTGACTTTAAATAATGATCAGAACTGTTAAGTTTCTAGAATATCAAGGCTGATATAATTCTTTACAACATTATTCTTTTAGTTTTGAAAACTTCCAATAACGGGATCGCTTATTTCGGGATCTCTAACTGGAATTACTTGAATTCCAACTTTTTGTCCGACATCCGGTGACATTATAAAAAGAGAAATTTCATTACTGGCTTTTTTTTTTGCTACCACAGGAAATAAAACGTTTAATATTAAAGCTAGCACAATTTTTTTAAAAGAAGTTTTCTTTTCTAGTGCATTAGCTCATTCCTTAATGGCTGCAAACAGCATTTAATTCATTTTTAAAGTTTTCTTCCCTGATTTAAATAGATTTTAATTCAGCCTTTTATTATAAAAAATAAATACTAACTCTGAGAATATATTTAACAAAATGTATATCTCAATAAAATGTTTTTATTTAAGTTTTTCTACAAAGAAAAATCGTAAATTCATTTTGAATTTCCAATTTGTTATTTAAACTTTCAATCCCCCAATTACTTATTTGATTTTTTTTTAAAAATACTGCTTGGCAATAAAATTAGCAATTTGTTTTACTTACGAAGAAATAATAATCAATTTGCTAATTATCGTTAGACGCTCTCATGAATTAAGATACAGGATTTTTTGATACTGGACTGTCCATAAATAATGATTCCATCCCCTCCGAACATGACGTCATTAATTTTTTTTTTGCTGATATAAAAGGTAGCCTTATTTATCATGCTGATCACGATTGGTTTATAAAAACTTAACTACATCGAGAGAATAACGCAATTTTTTTAAATAAAAGGTAGCCTAATTTATCATGCTGATCACGATTAGTTTATTAGAACTTAACTACATCGAGAGAATAACGCAAAATTTTCTAATAAAAGGTAGCCTAATTTATCATGCTGATCACGATTAGTTTATAAGAACTTAACTACACCGAGAGAAAAGCGCAAAATTTTCTAATGTCTTTATAGGCCATTCAAAGACTTTATCACGTCTTCCATCTAATTTATGCCTATTTTGTAGATTTAAAAGGTTGAATTATTCTCTAAAAGAAATTTAAACAATACTAAACAACTAACTTTATTACGTCTTACGTGTAACTTATGCCTATTTTGTATTTAACAAGTTTTGTAATTTAAACAATACTAAATAACTAAATTATTCTCCAACAATTCTAAACAATTGAATCATCCTCTGACAATTCTAATCCCCAACAAGTCTAATAAATGCAATTATTATCTAACAATTTTAATACCCTACAAGTATTTACTAAACGAAATCTAAATAAATGAATTATTCTAACAGCGAAATCTAAACAATCGAATCTAACGACTCTAACAATTCTAATCCATAACAAGTCTGAACAATTGAATCATCTTCTAACAATTCTAATTTCAAACAAGCCTAATAAATACAATTATTGTCTATCCCTTATAATCTTTAACAAGCATTTTCTAAACGAATTCTAAACAACTGAAATATTTTTTATGCGAAATTTAATCAATTTTAAACAAATGAATTATTCTCTAAACAAAATCTAATCAATTCGAAACAAATGAATTATTCTCTAAACGAAATCTAAACAAATCTAAAAAATTGAATTATTGTCTAACAAGTCTAAATAATTGAATCATCTTCTAACAATTCTAATCTTTAACAAGTCTAATAAATAACATTATTATCTAACAATTCTAATACCTAACAAGCATTTTCTAAACGAAATCTAAGCAATTGAATTATTCTAATCGATTCTAAACAAATCAATTATTCTCTAAATGAAATCTAAACATTTTAATTATTTTCTAACAGTTCAAATCCCTAGCATGTCTAAACAATTGAATCAACTTCTAACAATTTTAATCTCTTACAAGTTTAAACAATTGAATCATTCACTAAGCAAGACAAATTGTGTAAATTGCTAGTGGAGCAAAACAAGTTGTAATTGCCTTTTTTGACTACGAAACATATGGTTCTGAAACATCTTATTCACAATATGCTAAAGAAAAAATGTTCTTTTGTTATAAAATTTTGAAGTGTGTGCAGATTTCACTATAATTGCCAACTTTCATTCATGTTTATAAAGTCTTAGCTAAACATGAAGTAAAATAAAAACACGTGCGTAAAAAGTAGCAAATTAATATTTCAGCGAAGAAAAACAAAAACACTATCGAAATTTGAAAAATCATTACTTGTGAGGAGGAAGATGAAGGTGTTTTTAATAATCACCTTTTCACTACTCGCTGTTTTTTCAGCCATTTTTTATGTTTTTTATCTCATCTTTCTTGTTAAAGATTCGGTAAGTTTTGATACTGTCTTACATAATTTTCTTTCTCTTAAAAACTTATTTGTGTCAAATCTTTTATTACTTCATTTTGGTCATGCATGCTGAAAATATAGTTAAACACATGATTACGAAGCCCTCTATACCATCAAGAATGCACTTTTAAAGAAATTAGATTAAACGCATTATATAATAGTTCAATTGCATTTATTTACAAAAAATTATTTTCTCACGAAATGACTTTCGATATAGCTTCCTTTTGGAAAAATGATAATCCATAAATGAAACCTTGAAAGCAAATCTGTAATATTTAAAATTTTTAAAACACAAAATGCAATGACAAATATCTATAAAATAAAGTACAAATAAGACTTTATTGAATTATGCTTAAATGTAAGCCTGCTTTTTTAACCAAGAAGTTTGAAGAAAAAAAACGTGCTTGCTTGCTTTGTGAAGATATCGACGATATTTTTATGGTAAAAAAATTAATTTTGATTGCAAATATTGAAGTTTGTGTTTTTAGAAAGTAAAACAAAATAACAAAGACAAAGTAAAACAAAATTTAATAAATTAGGCTCGAATGTATTTGCATACAAATAATTAATTTATTCCTGAATGACAATTGTGATTGATTAGATTGATTAAATTTGTGATTGATTATGATTGATCATGAGTCGTGATTGATTAAATTTGTGAAGTTAAATTTAATAAGCGTAAGCAGCGTCCAAAAATACCCGAAAAAAGTAATTTTGAAAAAAAGTGGATTTTAATTAAAAATTAGGAACTATTTTTATTGATTCATGTAGATAATACAGTGTAGCGTAATGTGTGGTACAGAAGATCTTCATTGCTTTCTAAACATATTTGCATAGTTTTGCATAAATGTGGCTAATTGTTTTTGATACAATACTCATTTACGCCTTTAATGTCTTGTTTCTTTTTGGGCTTGTTGATATAAAACTTAGTTGCTGATAGAAAACGAAGAAAAACGTCATATAGCTTCAATTACATGATCAAAGAATTACTCATAGCAATAAAAACGCGTTGTTTTTACGAGTAACGTTCAATTTTTAGTACCGTATATCCCTGTGTATAAGTCTATCCTTCATTTTTAATTACGAGATTTCTGGTATGATGTGTGTATAAGACGACCTCTGAAAAAATCTAACATGGAACTTTCTAAAATTAACAAAATATATATTAAGTCTACAAAATTTTAAGTTAGAAATATTTCACGCGTTTCTCTTGGGATATGATGCATTTGCCCTCCAATAAAGATGCATTAGCAGATGCCGTGAGGTAAGCAGTCTTTAGAATCTTTAAAGTTGTAACTTTATGGTATGTTTTAAAAGTTTTCACTGTGTTATATTTTTATTTACTTTTGAATAAACTACTTTAACTGCTTTTATTCTTGCCTGTGGCTTTTCATACTTTCCGACTCCAACGAGTGTTAAGCACGATCATGCGTGTGTTTTACAATTGTTGAATGGTTATTGGCTTTGTATTGTATCAATGCATGTACATATCAAATTTCATTAAAATCGGTCCAGTAGTTCTAGAGATAATCGACCAAGTCTGCAAATTCTCTTAATTTCTTACAACAGTGTATTTCAAGCTATTTTATAAACTTTGCATGCAATGTTCATGGAAAATGTTCCAGTACTATTTTATCACAGATTGTTTCATTTTATCTCTATCTCTTTATGTATATCTCTTATACACCGGTGTAAGAAATAAAGAGAATTTACACATTTGGTCTATTATCTCTAGAACTATAGAACCGATTTTAATGAAATTTGATATGTACATACAATGATACGATATAAAACAAATAACCATTCAACGATTGTAATACACACGCATGATCGTGCTTAACACTCGTTGGAGTCGGAAGGTATGGAACAACGGTTGCAGAATAAACAAAACAAAAATGGGTTAATATGGTCTCCTTTTACAAATATGCAGGCCTTGCAGCGTGGTTACATACTTGAAATAAAGCAGTTTATCATTTCCCGTGGCAATTGTCGTGAATTGTTTTATGCCAATTTCATGCCTTCCGACTTCAACGAGTGCTAAGAACGAGCATGAGTCTGTATTACAATTGTTGAATGGATATTTGTTTTGTATTATATCAATGTATGTACATATCAAATCAGGGGCGTACGCAAGGGGGGGGGTTAGGGGTTTAAACCCCCCCTTGAGCTCAGACAAAGTGAATTTACAAAATAATGCAGACAAAAATAAAAATTTTAGTAGAAATTATGCGGGTTATTATTTTTTAAGACTATATATTTTTATTTGCCTTATGCCTACTTTTTTTTCTCACGGTATTTCTCAGAATACTGATAAAACATTTACTATAATAGGATTGTATTTTTGAAACCAAATTCACGTGATACTGTTACGGGCGAGCACCGATCACTGGTTCCTTTCTGACCTGCCAGTCGCGATAGTTTTCGAGACTGGCTGGCATTCGCGAGGTCTGGAATCCTAGACGTTCTGTCGTCTTTGAGACAATTCGAGAATTTTGTAGATGCGGTNTTCTGGCTTGATTTATTCCTACTTTTTAATAAAAATAAAATATTTTACCTCTTATTATAAAAAAAATTATATTCTTAAACTTAAAAAATAAAAACAAAATTTAACTAAACAATGTTGTCGAAATAAAAAGTCAAAATTGTCTAGCTGTCTAAATTAGGGAAGTAATAGTGCTTTATTACATACTCGAATTTCTTTTAGTAATTTCTGAAAATTATGAACCCCCCCCCCCTTGAAAAAATTCTGCGTACGCCACTGTATCAAATTTCATTAAAATCAGTCCAGTAGTTCTAGAAATAATCGTGACAACCAAGTGAGCAAATTCTCTTAATTTCTTACACTAGTGTATTTTTTTATAAGCTTTTCTTGCAATTTTTTTATAAGCTTTTCTTGCAATGCTCATGGAAAATGTTCTAGTACTATTTTTTTATTTAACATCAATCGAACATGGACTTTTCCACCCTCCAAACACGTTATCCAACTCCAATGCTGCAGCTATTGTAAGACGATCGTTACAGTGCCCACTAACGGCTTGAATACCAATTGGAAGTCCATCACACACGCCGGCAGGTATGCTTGTCGCAGGGAGCCCTAACAAATTGAAGATGGGTGCATACATGAAATTTAGAGTTTTGAATATTATCAAATGGTGAAACGGCGCTGTCTCGGGATGAGTTGGTAGAAAAAGCACAGCATCTTCTTTAAAAATGTCTTGAAATGTTTGACCAAGGGAATCGAATTGCTTCAAACACTCATAGTAGTGGTTGTCTTTATCACGTTTTTCTAGCATTGCGTTGAAAATGGAGGGCAAAGTATGGTTTGACATTCCAAAGAGACTTTTAAAGAATTCTAGCCATATGTTGACTTCGCCTTCTGCATCGGTTAGTATTAGCTTAAAAGGCGGAGCATGAGTATCTAGATATTTGCTAGCAATCAAGGAGATGATATTTTTAAATTTTTCTAGTTTCAATGGTTGGGCCTTTACTCCATATTGCTCTTCAAAATGGTTTGTAGCCTGAAAAGGAAAATAATAATATAAGTAAATATTATCTGGCCGTATAAATCATTAGTCACTGCGCAAGGAGAAATTTTCTTTATTAAATCATTGCGCAGTATAGTAATGATATTTCTGGTAAAGAAAAAAAAACGCAATTTTGGAGCTAAAAACCAAATCATATGGTACTTAAAACATTCCTTTGGTTATTTTTCTGTTCCTAGAGCAATGGTTTATCGGTAATTATGATTTTCAAAATTAAAATTCTTGTTATCACAGATTAAATAAAAAATACAAGGTATCGTGATAAAATTACCATATTTTACCACATTTACCAAATTTCATCACATATTATAAAACCATATCTTATTGTTAATTTTACCAAAATCATTACCAAAACAATTCGGTAAAAATTACCAAGCTCTTAGGTGTCCCCGTAAAGTCATTAAGACGATAAAATTTACCATATTCTATGAATTTTGACCATACTTTTTTCTTAGTGTGTGATCACACTTATATATAGTATTTCGTATGCACCGAGTTTAACATACATATCGTAAGCTAATTGAAAAATGCAAAATGTCACCTTTATTTATCAATGCACTGGGAAAATTTGAAAAGTATCAAATATTTTCCGATCAGCGTGGCAGCTTTTAGGATCATAGTAATGAACTCATATAGGCCAATTAGAGGATAAATCAAATTATATTCAATTAAACTTATTTCAAGCTGTTTGCAAGACACCCTGAGGCGATGAAAATGCTCATTGCATAGCTGGTCTATACTATTTCTACATCTGTCTCGCACCGACCACAGTGCTGACTTGAAATATCCTCAGAGGTAGAAAGATCATGAGTTAGGGTACCCTTGCCGTCAGGCTAACTGTGGGAGGTATTCGTGATTTTCCTCTCCATGTAATGATAATGCGGGTTAGTTCCATCAAAAAGTCCTCCACGAAGGCAAATTTCTCCCTATACTTGGTCCAGAAGTTCCCTTGTCTTCTTGATTGGGATCAAAATTACAAGGCTACGAACTTTAACAATAGTAGTCGTAAACCTGGTAAAAATAGGGTCGACTGTTCAACGGTGGTTATCTGATAGCAAGAGTTCATTGCAGCACTTGAAGGACTGGTTAAATGTTGGTGACCGCACTAGCATCGCTATTTTGAAATTACTTAGACAGATTGCTGTGGTTTACGAAGTGCACCTACAATGGATTCCCTCGCATGTGGGGATTTACGGAAATGAAGTCGCTGACGACTTGGCAAAGCAGGGCTTGGTTGAGTTATTGTATTCAGTTGCCTCATTGACTTTTGACGAGCTTTACTCCATCAGGAAAAACAATGACTTAAAATCTTGGAGGGTCCCTCCATCCCATGATTGGTATTGGTGGAGATGTCCTGGGGGCTCCATTGGCCTTTCCTGCGATATAGAGTCGACCAGACGGCGCTGTCGAGATTTGCCAGTGGCCATGTGAGGAGAGGCTCCTTTTGCAATGTCAACAGGATTTTCCTGGTTTGTGCAAAGGGCGGAGTGGAGAGTGTGTCCCCGGAGCACTTTCTGCCTTGTCTTCACATTTCTAATGAGACTTTTGCGACGGACCCTTTGCTTGCCCTGGATTTCTTGAGAGTGTATGAACTCATGGATAATGTCTAGATGCAGCTAGACAGTGAGAGGATTAGTCACACACGGTGATTATGAAATAAAATACGTCTAGGCCAATGTAAGCTGATTGACTAATCGCACTAATTAGCCTGATTTTAATTAGTATAAAGGGATATGGACTGAGTGTAACGTACCTAAAAAAATCAGGCCGAACAATTAATCTTCTGTGAACAGATTCAACATTATATGCATACAATGTGGCTGTTTTCTATTTTAGCTGAATATGTGATTCAAAGTCTATTAATTAGTTCAACATAGTAAAAGTTTAGAAAAATTATGCGCAGCATATCAAAAATATGAGCTTGAAGGGTTTCGTGATAAAGGTTATGGAAAATTATAATTTTTTGCTATTTTTATTCACCTTTTTAATGGCTTTCTTCACACTGGGAATGGCAGGAGCACCAGGCAATTCTTCTAAGTAGTATATTTTCACATGCTTGAAATCAACCTTGAAAATTTAAAAAAATCTGGAATAAATTCAACAAATGAATTGTTTAAGAACTCAATTAATCTATCAACGCTTCTTTAATAAATTGTTGGCAATCCTGACTTTCGATATTGTCTTATGGAATTGTAAAGATGTTCAATTCATAAAACAATTAAAGGTAAGAAATAGCCATTGTTTATAATGCGGTTATTTTATAATCCTTCAACGAAATCTGCATGGATAAATGTGCTAACGACAAAATTTGGATTTTATGAATGTTTTATGAACATGCAGTTCATTAAACAATGAAGTAATTTATATAAACGTTTAGGAAAAGTTCAGAAGAACCCACATGAAATAAAAGGCGAACGCCATAATCGGGATGGGCACAACTACCAATTTTGAAATCTTGACGGGTAAAACCACTAATTTCGAAATAGTGATAAACATATGCATAAGGATTTGTATAGAGCTTAAGATCAGATAAGTACACATCGAGCGTTACACGGACCAATTTACCATATATCCCATATTTCTTTTCATTTTGTAGGTTAATGGTTCATAACTTTATAAAAAAAACAACAGTGTAGGGAATACCGGGCAAGTACATTCCTAGTAAAACCACGTTCCATATGTTAACATGTATAGAGAAGGTGAAGAACAAGATGTTTTTTATTTTCATTATTTCTTACAGACCGTAATAACACATTTTTCAGAAATATAACTATGCGATGAGAAATGTTTTTATAAATCATATTTTGGAAATAAATTTTTTTCTTCCAATTCATCAATCTATGCCAATAGCTGATTATAAAAATTTCACGCTACAGTAAAGCAAATATAAAGTCTGTTAATTTACATTTTTAAGATTTCACAATGTCAACATATTGCTAAAGCATTGTTCAAATAGTTTAAAAATAATAATTATTGAACCATGTTCCTATACAAGTAGGAGTTGTTTATATACTTATTTTCATACTTAAATTACTTTAAAATGCAACTTGATACATTAGGACAGAAAATTCATGCAATTCTTAAACAGTGTAGTTTTTTTCCTCGGCTGTGTTAATAATAATAAATTTTAAGTTACTTATAAAAAGTTAATTTTGGTGGTTGAATAACATCATTTGAATATAATCTTTTCTCCAAATTGCTTATTTATCTCCCAAACCAAAAGCATTTTTTTTGGCTAGGGAAAATTTTATTTGCAATAGGACTTAATAATCAAAGGTCATTTAACCAGCAAACTCGTTTTTCGTAATGTAAATAATTAATCCAAAAAATATTGAAATTAGCTTTTTAAATTAAAACGAAAATGGAACAAATGTTGATTAAAAAAATCAGTTTATTGGTTAAATCTGAAAAACTGGTTCAAGATTGAACTAAAATATGATTACCTTCAAGCATTATTTGTGCAAAATTGCGCAAAACTAAATAAAATTTTAAGTTGAACCATTTTCCGGGCAATTTAAACCATTGTGTAGTGTAGACTGTCTACTTTAAAAAGTGCATTAATCTAATTCAGATTGAGTTTCAGCAAATAACCAAACTATAGTTCAACGCAATCCAAAAAACAATGTAGACTATTCAAACCTAAACAATTTATAACTAAATGGTTGCATTTTCGATAAAATTTTGATCTTTTATTGGATGACTTAAAATGTAGTTCTCTATCATATAAAATAAGAAATGAAATGCCTAAAAAAGAAAGTATAACAATGTGTTTCTTTGCGTTTCAATAGCATTACTTTTTTTTGTAACTGCAGTTTTGGATTATTGTCCGATAAAATTTTCAACAAAAGAGTTAAATCTTCGGCATATCTACACATAGGACCTGTAGTATTGATGTGATCAAATGGCATTTTCTCAGTTTCAATCCACGGATAATAGCCACGATTTGACACAATACCTATTATAAAATCAAAAGCAACATTTCAGAAACAATAGAAAGCATTTCCCGAGACAAAATAGTATTAGATAATAATAACATCAATTTGATACAATACCTGTTCGAAAAAATTTTTTTTTTGAAAAGCAAATGGCAACAGTAATGTCAAGAAACTAAAGTATTTACTAATAAAAAAAAAGAAATGAATATTGAGTTAGGAAGAATGTTTTTTAACCATGGAATTTTAAATATGAAATCTTTTAAATATTGGGTACTGTTCTAACTACATTTCTATAGAACCAACATTTTTCTCCCAACAATTGCACAAGAAAATATTACTTCTCAAAAGTTTTAAGCATTTATTTAATTTTCCGTAATAAAATTCTCAGCTTTGACATTCTTTCAGCTATAATCAGTTTTTTTTGGAAAATCCTTTTGAGAGGATATTACGTCAGTTTTGACGAAACTACAACCTATCATTGCTCCACATATTTCTAAAATTTACTCAAGTATGTTTATTGCAAAACTATCTCACTAAAATCTCTTTACAGCTTTTTTAAAAAAAGTGCCTAGTCAATTGAGTAACGTAATAAATTTTTGTGCGTATAGAGCACATAATTCTCTTAAACGAATATTTTTCGGTAAAATTTATCATAACAAAAATTGCAGACTGATTTTGCAATCTCTTTTTTTCCGAGATGCTTAGATTAATTTATAAAACCTAGTGTCGCTAAAATGACACACTGATTTTGTGACCTCTAGTTTTAGATACATAGATACAAAGAATACATAGAATACATAGATACGCAGAATACATAGATACATAGAATACATAGATACATAGAATACATAGATACATAGATACATAGAATACATAGATACATAGAATACATAGATACATAGAATACATAGATACATAGAATGCATAGATACATAGATACATGGAATACGCTTAAATCCTAGTGTCTCAGATACGAAAATAGATTTGAAAAATAAATTAAAGATAAATGAGAGGAGACAGAAATGTACTAGCAGCTGTATTCTTAGGAAACCGAGTTTTATTCTCGAAAAGACTTAAACCTTTTTCAAAGTTTGTCAGCAGATGGCGTCAATGACAGGTAAAACCATAGAATAATGTTTTTTTTTGTTGTATTAGAAACTATTCTGATGTAGAAAGTCAGAAATACTATTCAAGCAGAAAACGAAAAAAAAAGATATGTGTGTTAACAAGACAGTACACAGCCTGCCAACACACAGGAACCTTTCTGTTGTCAGTGGTAATACCAAAAACTGACAATGCCATGAGGCCCCATAATGGATAAGCAAATAAGGAAAAGCAATTAGAAAAATTGAAATGTAAACGCAAAGAAAAATTAATGACAAACAGACAAAATTTAAAAGCACATAGAGTAAGACTTAATAATGATACGCCCACATAAAAGAAAAATAAATAAAGATAAAGTTACAGTTAGAATAACCAAATCAAAATAAAATATTAATTGCCAAATCATTAAGAAAACTAATCATAGTTTTCTGATTCAGACATTTGAATGAATTTCAAACTGTATGACGCAATTCTCAACAGCTTCATCTGTGGACGACTTTTGTGAATAATTTTGGAATTTGATGAGAATAAACCAGTTCATCAAACTGTATATTTCTATCTCCTTACGTTTTCCATTAGTTGATTTTTTTCCGAAAGGTTAGTAATTGTTGGGATTACCAAATGATATATTTTACCTGATGACATATTTTACCAAAAAATATTTAAATAAGAGAACTGTTTAGACTGTACAAACTAAACGGTAGTAAAATTCATTTTCTTAGCCAAACTCATGGGGAAAATGTGAATGCTGAATTGAAATCGTTATATTATTTTTAATTCTGTTAATTCTCTATTGAAAAATTTTAAACTTTAGGTTTGCTAGTTGTACACATGCTTTTATTTGAGGTATTTGTAAGCATAATAATACAAATTTTATCAATCTCTATGAAATTGTTAAAAGTGATTATGAGTACTTACAGGAAGAAGGCTTATGACCATAGATACTATTAAAAACTGAAGGTACTCTTATGCTGCCGCCATAATCTGTACCAATTCCAATCACTGCTCCAGCTGTTGTGAGAAGTACTCCTTCACCTCCTGCAAAATTTTATGAGCTGCTAGTTTTTTTAAAATTTTCTGGAGAAAATAGACAGTAAAATTGCACCCCATATTTTTCTGTGTTTTCTCGGAAAATTTTGACTGTTAATAGCTGCTTTGTTGTCAAAACGGTTTTTCATCCTAATCATGAACGGAATAATACCGTCAGTTTAAATTTAAGTTTTTGGCGTACAGTTTTGCTTGCCGCGCGATAACTTTACTTTTCCTCCAATCATTTTACAATTATTTTCTGTACTTGTTCTTATCTTTCGGCAATTATTTTATTAATCTGCATATATGAATAAAACTGTGGTTCCTCTTTATTGTCAAATTGAGACGATATTGAAGGAAAATTCTCACTAACACAATATTTTTGTCCCCCCCCAACTAATCGAAGTGGACTTTCCCAATTTTTTTTTTAATGAAACCCGTCAAATTATTTTATTCTTACAAATAGAAATGTTTTCTAAGTGTTTTTACTTAAAACAATTAATTTAGGGAGTCTTCTGTTTCATTCTTTTCTACCTTCTGCGCATTAACGAAGATCATAAGCGTGCCAAACTTTGGTGCTTGGTTTATATGAGTGGGTGACTAGATTTTTAAACGTTTCTACACTTAAGTATGATTTCAATATGTAAGGTAAAGAGAGTTCCAGACTTTTCTTCATTATAAAACGCTGGAACCACGGTGGTTCCAGGAAAAGAGTTCTCGCCACCCAATGAAATAACCCAGGTTCGAATCCCGATGATGACAGTTTGATACAAATTCCTCTGGCTTAAAATATCTGTATCTGGTTATTGTACAGATTTATTTTGCAGCTTTAACGGAGAAAACTTGTTCCATATCGTAAAAGTCTTTTGTCACTACAGATTTACTGTGTGACTTTTATAATCAAAACTTGTTTTGGTACGTAAGGAAACCAGCCTGACTACGAATTTCTTTCGTAATTGTTACGGAGAAAACTTGTCCTATATTGAAAGAAGCCGTTGTGACTGATTTATTTCGTAAATTTAACGGAACGAATCTTGCTCTTTTGTTATTATGGTTATAGATTTACTTCGCAAGGCTTATATTTTTGCACAGCAGCTAGTTCAAAGCAGTAAATTTTATGCAACTTTTTTTATACTGCTTTTTTATGTTGATTTCAAACTCAGGTATGCTACCGTTATACGGTCAAGCTTTTCAATTTACAAATGATGTAGCCCACTTTTTAAAATACGAGTGATGTATGGTACTTTTCGTACTTTAGTTATGCAAAAATTACCTGAGCTACCACCAGGTGTTCTCCTTTTATCATATGGATTCGTTGTTTTACCAAAGATGATATTTGTTGAATTCCACCAACTGCACAGTTCTGGAACATTAGTTACAGTTACGGGTATAGCACCAGCATTGCGATATAGTGCTGGGGCATCACCATCTTCCTCTGCAGTTCTTCCTTTATCCCTGTATAAACCTGCTGTTTGGTATAAACCTGGAATAAATGGGAGATTATATTAGAAACAAACGATCTAATCTAATGTGATGCTTTTATTGTTAAACTTCGAAAAGTTTATCTATGGTATATTTTTTATTTTGTATAAAAGTTTAAAGCCTTGATAATATAGTATTGTATATATAATACAGTATTAATAACTAGTGGGCTGCGCCCCCTGCTCGCTGTCGCTCGCCAACCCAAGAAAATTGCTACAATAATCTTATATGGTTTGCTTCGCAAACCAAGCTCGCTCCGCTCGCTACTAACTTAGGTACATTGCAAATGCACAAAATTCTAAGAATTCAAAACAATCATTCAAATCCATATAACAACTTTCTTTTTTAAGAAAAAAATTACATTTTTAGTAAATACTAAGTCATTAAAATAAATTTGAATTCAAATAATTAATAATGTAATTCGTTAAACCTATTAGAAATGTGCTATAGTATAAAATCTTAAAGCGTAACAGCACGACTGAGACTCATTTTTCAATGAATAACTAATAACAATAATAAAACAAATAAATTCGTGATATAAATAAAAAATTGTCAAATAAATTCGTAATATATAAATTCGTGTAAAAAAGCGCTTCCAACAAAATACCAAAACAGAGATCTATTGACAAAGACTACTCACTTCTGCCTAGCTTAATAGTATGAGATTGCAGCAGCTGATGCTCTCTCAGGTTATTTTAGTTTCCGTTTTTAAAAGCGCTATATGTTGAGCCACCTCATTTAGATTTGGCATGTGACATTTTCAGGGGCAATCATTGGTCGATTTTCTAGCGTTGCCATTCGTGGAGTTATAATGAGGCTTTTTTTGTCGTCGTGTAAGAGAAATATATATACATAGATTTTCAAAAAGAGTAAATCGAGAGTAAGTTTTTACAATGCTTATTGCAAGCAAACTAATACATTAGGGAAATCTGATAATATGGTAGCAGTCTTTGATAAAGTGGCCAACTTAGAATATTTCTTCAAAGAGTTCATTGTTGATTTCTGAAATTTTCTGCTTTGCTTTTCTTTTTGTTTAAGAAAGAATTTCCGGACTGTTTTTTAAAATATGCTGACGTTATTTCTGAAGTTATACTTCTTATGCGACTTCCAACAAGGTTGTGTTAAACCTTTAACGCAACATTTTTATTGGCCGCGAAATCACGTGGTAGGATCCAGTTTTTCCTCATTCATTACCTTATTGTTTTGGTTCTCACTAGCATAAAAATAATAAAAGTCATAAAAGTACTGTTTTTTTATAAATATTTTTAAAGTTATACTTCTTATGCGACTTCCAACAAGAAAGCGTTAAACGTTTAACGCTACATTTTTATTGGCCGGGAAATCACGTGGTAGGATCCAGTTTTCCCTCATTCATTTCCATATTGTTTTGGTTCTCACTAACATAAAAATAATAAAAGTCATAAAACTTTTGTTTTTCTAAAAATATTTTTTTAGTTTGTTTTTATACACATATAATTTATTTGGGAGCAGGAAAAAGAGTCGTTGAATAGAACTAGTGATCCTCTACGACTGCTGATTCTTCTACAATTAACGTCGCAGGTTACGAAGTTTAACTTCTTCCGCGCTGACGAATTCCTCGCACTTTTTTGACTTTAACTGTTGTATTAAAATAATATTCCAATCCAGTTATTCATTTAATTCACTTTCACTCTTTCACTTAAAAGATATTATATTTTTAATCGATAAATAACAAGCCTTCGCATTTAATTTTAAAAAAACCTCACCAATTTCCTGTTACATGTTTTTTTCAAACTTTTTCAACTAATTGGTTTGAATGAATATTCATCACCTGTCGTAATCCGAGCTTTTTACTTTTGGACAATAATTGTCTTTGAAATTCAAATTTAATATGCTAAACCCGAACGATAAACACATGACGCAGTTATTTAGCAAGATCATAGTAAGACAATTTTCAATTGTCTTACTATGAAAGTTTTGTAATTCGTTTTGTAAAATTCGTTTTGTAAGTAAGATTATTTTTAAGTTTCAAGTAAATTTCTCTGATATTTTCGATTTCATCAACATCCCTCTTCACTACCTCTGCTCATAATAAATCGGAAGGAAACAACTTGGCTATTTTTTTATGAATTTCTCCTTAAATAAAATTATGACAAGTTATTTTGTAAATATATAGTATTTTCAGATATTAGTTAAATTTGTAGAATCTAACACCATACTAAATAAAATCAACTTTTCGACATAAATTTCAATAATTTTTAATTTTAAAAGGGAAAATTGCTGAATTTAGCTTTAATTACGGAATTTAGTTCTCCATGAAATTTAGGTGCGGAATTTAGTTCTCTGTAAGAAGAGAATTAAAATAAAAATTAAAAAAAATATTAATTATAATATTTTCAATGTTTTCTACATAAAGTAACATCTAACTTGCTCATTTTAATGTTAGCTGGCAAAAAATAGTAGTGTCTCATTTAGATGAAATGCAAACCAAATTTATTTAAATTTAAAGACATATAAAGTGTGTTTTACCTTTTATTCCAATTACTTCCTTACAAGTAAAAGGTACCCCTAATAGTGGAGTGTCCTTCTCAATTTGTTCTGGGGTCTTTTCACCTCGTTCTAGGAAACGATCGATTTTTATGGCATCTTCTATCGCCTCTTCATAACGTGCGTCTGTTACAGCATTGGTGTATAGCTGGACAGTTTTCGCTCTGTTTACGTAAGCACGTACTACATCCTCACATTTCAACTACAAAGAAAGCAATTAATTCTGATTAACAACTCAACTACACAGAGTGATATTCAACCATCACACTTTTTAAATAGAAAACTATGAATTCATTTCGATTTAATGACTCATCTACGCAATATAAAGTTTAACTTCTTTACATTTTAAAGCAGCAGAATAATAAATTCATTTTAAAATAGCAACTTAACGGCACAATATATTTTTAGCTACTTAACATTTTAATTACAAAGCAATAAATTCATTTTGACTTAATAAATTAGCTTTACATTATAAAATTTAGTTACTTCACACTTTAACTACAAAACAACAAATTCATTTTTACTTGACTAAATTACAAAATATAAAGATTATCTGCCTCACATTTCATTCACGAAAGTCAAAAGAATTTATTTTGGTAAAGTAACTGAATTGTCCGTTATAAATGGTAGCATTTTCTTATTTTAACTACAAAAAAAGCCTAATTTCGATTAAATAACCTATCATTATATTACTGAAAAGTCGGGATAAGCATAATTCTATTCTACTCAGAAGTGTCCTGCAAAACTGTAATTCATATTCTAGGATTTATTTCCTAGCTAAGTTTAATAATTCTTTTTTGTTTTATCCTTCAAAAAAATTTTTTTTTGATTTTTATTAAATGAATAAGCAGTTATTCACAAACTATAGTCTGGCCGTCACGAGATGAACCTGCACTGAACTGATAACAACTTTACAGAGATTTCTTTAAAAAGCATGGTTGTTATACTATATATCTATCATTATTTCAATCATTATTATCATAAACCATCATTATAAATGTTTTTAAGGAAGTTCAAATGGCATATGCATAGTAGGAACTTATATTCCTTGAAATGATTGAACTTAGTAACAAAATGTTAAGTTTTTATGTTTGAACTGTGTTATTAGACTCTTACAATATTTTAGAAAGATCCTAAACCAGATTTAAAAAGTACCGAAAAATTAAAATTTGGTAACTAAGTTCCATCAAGTGTATTTTATTGAAGAAAATGAAAAGAAAAATATGCAAAATGTTGATTAAGGACTTAACTGGAGTCCATATACAATTTATTATAGTTTAATATGCGAGATGAGGAAGTAGAATTTGATAACCAGAAAGCAAGATTACCAAACAACAAGCGAGCATTGCTAGTCCTTGAATTTCAAGCTACCTCCCTATAGGGGTGGGCTCTATTCTATATCTTTTGGAGATGGAGAAACGTAAAGGATGCATGTTGCCTTTTTTTTCTGAAACAGATTCGGCACACCGGACTTATTTTCGATTTTAGAAGATAGAAATGGAAAATAAAATATAACTTTTTTAATGACAAAATGAATTTAAAAGCATTTCGACATTTCGAATTTCCCATACTTTGCATTAATATTTATTTTACATCCTTTTGTGTTGCTTTCAGCCCTTAGACTGTTTTTCTTTTGCCTCGAAATGGCGACGAATTTCCCATAATTTCGATTAGAAGAAAAGCCTGTGTAAGAAATATCGGATAATGATTCTTATACTTAAAAATAATCAATGCAAAGAGTACCGGACAAGTTTATACCGGGTAATTACACTTTACCTAAAAAATCATCAATATAGGAAAGAGCGAGTAAAAACAAATCATGGTTCTTAAAATTTCAAATTAAATAAATAAAATTTAGAAAAAACAATAGTGTCGGGAATACCGGGCAAAAGCACTTTATCTTAAATGGCATCAGTGATGTGAACACTATGTATTTCCTTCTACCTTACTGAAACTTCTAAAGAGAGACAGCGTTTAATAGTTCACTATTCGTATGACCCCCTATTATAGTTCCCTATTGGTTGTAGGACTAGCGCTGCATGCTTGTTGTTTTGTAATTTTGCAACTAGACCACTCTTAAGATAATTCTGAATATGTGAATTAAATAATGTAGATATCGTATAAAAGTTATTCAATTAAATTACCTGCCTGTTCCTGATTTTCTTAGCCAAATTTGAAGCAGACAGAAGTAGAATACCATTTTCAATCGGTGGTAGTGGATTTGTCTTTTCCGTAAAAATGTTGTAGATGAAAGAAATAATTACGTCTGATAAAGGTTTTGTTAAGATCAAAATACGTCTTATGACCTCCACCAACAAAAATACTACCTGAAAGAATGTGGTAGAAGTGAAAAAAAGTGTTTCTACGTTGACTTAAAATTCTGAAATATATTTTAATTATTTACAATTGCTAATGTTAGAATTGGTTAAAGCCAATAGCAAAATTTGACTTTGTGAGGAAACTAGGATTTGTTAGCATATGATATTTAAACTTTTCAAAATTATTATATTTTGTAAGATTGTATGTATAAAGATTTTCTGACATTTAGTAGGTCTCCTAATTTCAGCACGTGTACTTTTGTATTATTAAATATTGCAAGTGGTCTCAATTTTCTGATGCATTGTAAGAATTAAAAATAACGAACTCTGGACATTTAAAGTTCGTGACTGAAATGAAGGGGAAAAAATTAAAAATTAATATCAGAAAAAACTGAGATCTGGATATTGATATCAGGTATTGCTTATGATATAATTGTTCATGTGGAATTGAATGAAACCAATCTCAAAATGATGGAATTTCTTGTCTAGACGTTAGCAAGGTATAATACATAAAACATTTTGTAGTGGTTGCGTTTGTGGTTTATTTACGTCACACCAGAACTGAACAATGGGCTATTGGCGGCGGTATATTAGCGACGGACAGTCTATCGGAAACATCTCTGTGGATCATCTGGCGACATATCATCACAATTTTTATCCTTTGCAGAGGGGATGCCCACCCGCTTCTACGACCTGCACTTGAAGTCGAGGACTTTACGGTAGAACAGTTTGACGAGGACCAATACCGCACTTACTCGGTCCCTTCGTAGACTGATCCAAGTGGTCACCCATCCTCACACTGACCGCAGCCAGTGATGCTTGACTTCCGTGTTCTACTGGGAACCGTGTCTTAACGATCAGTTCACTGCGGGACGAAAAAAGTTGTACTAATAGCAATTTACGCATCTGCCCATGCTGTCTAGGAAAGTGCAGTGTAATTTTCTAAGCATTTTTTTTAAACGTTGAATCGAAAAATGTCAAAATGAAATTATCGAAATAGTACTCAGGTACCGTTTTACATATTCACTGGTTTAACATTGTAATCTGTATGGGAATGGTATTATTTCGTAACCATTTTTTGTGCTATGCACAATAAAATCAAATTTATGTTTTTCAATTAATAGTTTTAAAGCGGTAAGGGCAATATGCGTAAAATGATATAAGATAAAAAAAAAAAAAGAAATTCACACATAATACCTCCATTTATTTTAAAAACCTTAATATTTTCTAAACTTTTATTCAGACTCGGATGTGATATTGTTCAATTAATTAATCTATTTCCAGTGGTGCGATAAAATTAACCACTGGAAATAATACCTTGCTTGTCTAGATAGCAACGTTTAAGTTTTTCCCATACTAACCCAACACGGATCCGAGATGTCCACCACTTATCTCATTCTACGAAACATAATAAAAAGAATGAGACAATCATAGCACTTCATTGCAAAATCTCACAGAGACTACCAGCAATTTGAAAACAAATTAACTTTTTTTATTGTACACAGTTTAAGAAAAGGAAATATTGATAATAAAGTGCATGTTTTGAAATATAATGACTGATATGCATTCTGTTTATATTTCTATTTTTATTACAGGTCATTGTGATGCAAAATAATAGTTACAAAAGAGAGAATCTTCCCCTGATAAAAACGTAGACCATAAAATGTAGATGATAATAGACGAACTCGTAATAGACGTTATGAAACATTTCTCTAAACCTGAGCAACGAATCCAGGATTGGGCTAGAAATAACTCTAGTTTTTCCAAATTTATGAGTTTTAGAAATTAAAAATGAATAAGCAGTGAGGCATTAATAACGGCTAGTTAATAGAATTTTTTATATTTTGCAGTACATTTCATTACTACAGATTATCCTTGCTTTAATATTTGAAACATTTTAAAATGCCCGCATATATTTTCATAGATTTTTTGCATAGATTTTCAAGCATATTTTTGCATAGATAATCACGCATAGATTTTCACGCAATTATCATGAAACAGTTCTTAGATTTTTAAGTCCACTTGCAGAAAGAGAATCTATTTATAGAATTTAGTTTCCGCTTAAGGGTGTTTGCAAGGATAAAATATGTTAATGAATTATATTTATTGGTAAAGGGATTGAAAGACAGATTCATTTAATTCTTGAATTACAGTTCATACGTTATGTCTACAGTTAATATGTAATATATATTTGGAACGGCAATCATATTTAGGAATTTTTACTTGCATGTTTATTATTTATTTTTATTACTTTTATATTACTGGGACAAGTCTGCTAATTGTGGTTTTTTATTAATTTAAATGCAGATATTTCACAAACGGTGTTTGTCAAAGACATCTATTAGAAAATTTCTGCTAAGTTCTTGCCTTCCGATAACCGTAGCGCTAACATTATTTTCTATGTTTTAGGGACACAATGATTGTAGAGAAATTTTTGCGCATGCGTTGTGTAGTTCCAATAGCATAGTTAGACTTAGGAGGACCCTATGCAAAATCTCAATAATAGCTGCTCTAGATTTCGTTGCATTAAATACGCAATAGAGAGATTTTGCGTAGAGTTTCCCCTACGTAAACCTTATTACTTATTTTCCAATCCTTAGAGGCACAGCCATTTGTAGAGAAATGTTGGTGCCTGCATTGTGGATTCCAAAGAACGTTAATGTTAGAGGTGGAAAGGCCCGTGACTCTTTGCTAAATCTTTCTAATATCCTTGAAGTTTATGGAAAGACTTAGCAGAGTTTGCTTTTCTTCCCATTCGACGCTAAATTTAAAACCTTATCCAGCCTATGTCCTATTTATGCCTCAGCTTGTCACATTTTTGTCACCTTGTGTCACATTATGTGGCCTTCAATGTGATATTACTTCTTTTTTCTTTTCACAAATCAGACTCAGTTTACGAGCTTGTTGCCCTTGCAAATGCGGTTGTAATTGATATCATTTGTAGCATCATTTGAAATTGACTCCTAGCAAATCATTTCTTAATTTTGCACAATTCAGTTCTAGATCTAATTCGCATGATTACACTATTTCTAATTGTTATAGTGTTCTTAAAATGCAACTAAATTCAATTTTTTTTCCAAATATACAACCGATTAAATTAGTGGATATTTAAATATAAGATTTAAAAAATTGCTTTAAGTAAGAAAAGTAAAAATTATAAATAGCTGAAATGTTATATTAGAATATATTTTAAACACTTTCTTGTAATAATAAATTCCACTTATAAACAATAAGAAAAGCATTGATGAAATCAGTTTCTAAGTTGATTATTATTGATATCACAATACCAATAATTAGCATCCAATTATTTCTTCTTACGTGCCCTGCATTATTAATAACTTAAAATTCTTTCACGTTTTGTCAGGTAGATAAAGTTGTTAGTTTTGATTTTCTTGATTTACTATTGGACTTAAAACTGTTTCTTGGAACTAGTTAAATATACGAAGTTTTAATATTTTTTTTAAGCTATTTAAGTGCAAAACACAGCACCTTAAGTGTATTATGTATATTAAACTTAAAGTGAAAACTCGAGATTTGATTACCATTTCCTGTTAAATTAAATGTCTAATATCGTAGTGTGTGGCATTTCTATAATCAATGTCGGTAGCGAAATTACTATGCATAATTGTAATTAAAACAAAAATACTTAGTTAATAAGTTTTGGATGTTTAAATTTCTAAACTTTAATTTGTTGTGGATTTAGAGATATGCATGCAGAATACACGTAGCAGAAAAACAACAAATGCAAATAGAAAAAGTAACATTCTTTAGTACACATATTGAAAACTACAAATTCAAAATACAAGAGTATTAGCGGAAAAGTTAAATTAAAATACAATATTTAATTTAGTATTAAAGGTAAAAAATTACTGATCCACTATGTTTATTCATTATACAAAATAACTATTCTGTTAATATTTCTCTGTGAACAGTGAACCCAAAAAAAAAAATTTAAAAAAAAAGATCACCTTGAATAACTTCTGATTTAATGATCGGATTTTCACGTTCTAGGACTCAAGCTTAAAGGTTTGAAATACCAATTAATAAGCGCAGACGATATTTTGAGTTACGAAATCAGACACAAATACGTACTTTCTTTGAATACCTTCTTTTTCTCTCGGCGGATACGGATTTCTGACCGCCGAAGTCCAATAGTCCGGTCAGGAGAGCGGTATAAAGTTTGCGAACCCCTTAATGTTTAGATTATTTTTGCGTAATTTTGCCATAACTTGAGAACTTTTTAAGCGATTAGAAAAACTTTTACACACAAGTATGAAATTCTTTCAACCAACGATAATTCCCATCAAAAAACTAATTTTAGTAATTATTTACTATTTTTTATTATTTTGTTTAATAAGAGCCGAAAAGATTTTGAATATTACGGAATACAATTTTATACATAATTTTAAGACATTTAGTTTTGCATAGAAATTGGTTGAAAAGTTCATGAGAAATGGTATTTTAAAGATGCCGTATATTTAAAATTTGATTTCAGAGAAATTATTCGACTCTTTCTCTCAAGGTATTTGTTTTGCCATGTAGAATTAGATGCTTTAAAGATTTTATCCCTTATTATTGAAAAAAAAAAATTTCGGCCACTATTAAAGAAACAATACAGCGGACACTTTGCGAATTTTTAAAAATTTTTTGAAGAGAGCGAATCTTTTAAAACTGGTTTCATGTTGAGAAACGTGCGTCAAATTTTCTGAGAATGCCCACATTTGTCGAAAGTCTTCATAAAATGTCTTTAAGTGAGATTTTGTTTTTTTACCAAAACATGATATTTTCACAGTCAATATAGAAGCAAAAGAACGGACACTTTGCGAATTTTTTAAAATTTTCTAAAAAGAGCAACTCTCTTAAAACTGGCTTCATGTTAAAATATTTGCGTCAAAGGTTTTGAAAAAGCCTCATTTGTCCAAAAGTGCTCAAAGAAAATCTTTAAAGGAGAGGTTTTTTTTACCAAAACATGATATTCCCACAGTTCATATTAAAGAAGCAACAGAGCGGACACTTTGTGAACTTTTTTGAATTTTTTGAAAAGAGCGAATCTCTTAAAACTGGTTTCGTAATAAAATATGTGCGTCAAATTTTCTGAAAATGCCCAGATTTGTCCAAAAGTGCCCAAGGAATGTCTTTAAATGAGATTTTTTAGAACCAAAACAATGATATTTCCACAGTCCATATTAAATAAAATCATAAAAAATGATAAATATTTACTGAAATTTATTTTTTGTGCTGAATTATCTCTTGAATTAGCTAATTTTATAATTTTGAGCAAAAATTTTTTCTACATGCTTAAAAAGTTCTCGAGATATAGCGAAATACGCAAAAAGTAAAATTAACATTAAAGGGTCCAAACTTTGGGAGGCTCCCCTGACCAAACAATGGAGACAGTATTTCCCAGATTGCGACTGCCTCTTATATTTTGGGAGTCAGAAATCTAAATCCGCCTTGTTTATTCAGAGAAAGTGCGTTTTCGTTTCTTAAAATATCGTCTGCACTAATTAATTAGCAAATTTGACGTCACCCCCTTGAACTATTAAGATTGAGTTATAAAACGTGAAGATCCAATTATTAGATTAAAATTCGTTTGGGATGGTCAATTTATTTTTGGGGCACAGTTCATTAATTCGTTATGTTAACTGAAAGAAAATAAAAAATAATGTGTGATATTAAAGAAAAAAAACTATTAATATAATCTAGGAGCAAGAAATAATTAATGCAATTAAATATTGCAAAATTACATTAAAGGAATACCGCAATAGATGTAGTGTACATAGAATGTGGTAAAAGAATAACAGTAGGCCGGTATAACCTAGTTGGTAGTGCATTGGACTCATGCTCCTGAGAACGTGCGATTGAATTCAGCAGGCCGACGAATCCCGCGTGAAAAAAAAGTAACTGGTGCATGTTATATATGTCGGGGTCATAAAGTCCTCCTAGTTCCCATAAGAGGTAAATACCTCTGGGGGTACTGATCCTGGAGTTCCCTTGCCTTCCGGATTGGGTTCAAAAATTACAAGGCAGTGATAGCCGTAAACTCAAAAAATTGGGTCGGCAGTTAAACGGTTGTTATAAAATAAAATATAAAATAGAATAACAGTAATAGATGAACATTTTGTGTAATAAAAATGAGAAAAACATATTTATACAAAATGAGAAAATTTGAAGGTTTGAGTAATATGCAAAAAAGTTGTGTTCATGCTTTTGTTAAACTTTTTTTTACTAAACGAATACCAAAGTGCAAGTAAAATAGTAAATTCTACTACAAGTTAAGAGAACTACCATTTGAAATAATTATAGTTCGTTCGAGTTTACTACAATATGATTGAAAATTTCTTACTCCAGTCATAGTAGCAAAAAATCCAAGCTCCGAAATATAATCCAAATGCTGTCAAATACTGATAAATAATGTCAAACATCTAATTGTCAGTATCGGTAGCTCTAAACTTAAATCGTAAGATTAGAATAAATGCTATGACAATACAAGGTCGACTAATTCGTCACCGGCAACACTACACACTTTATTTACTCAGATGATAAGATTTTACAACAAAGAAAATAATAAAAAAAGAAAGCTTGGAAACAATAAAAGAAGAAAACTTCTTAATAAAAAAAAGCATGAAATTTAAGGCTTAGTGACTTCCGTAAATGCATTGACTATTAAAATTAAAAACTATTAAACAGCATCAAAATCAATTTTTATTTTGTTTTCAATTTGAATTTTTCTATTCAGACTAGAGAGTTTTTTAAAAATTTTAATAGTTCTGGAAACGTTTAAAGTGTCTGGATCAGTGGTTCCTAATTTTTTTCGGCTATGAAACCTTAAGTGATCAGCTTTCTTTTGGCGAAACTCCTAAAACTTAATAAGTAAATGTGAACGCATAAATCAGCAAAAAACTATGAATCATTTTATAAATATTTGATGATCAAAATTTTATGAGTTATAATGAAAACTTTTAGTGAATAAATATAGAAATATTTTTTTCCATCCTATCGTTTAATCAATTCTGAAATAGGATATTATGTAGCAGACAGTTGAAATCCCGGGTCTGGAGAGCTGTTTAGTGTATTTTTTTTTCTGGTCGAGATTTTTCATTTTATTTTCTTGCCTAGTTCTTAATTTGATGAAATAAAAATGAAAAAGGACGAAAATAAAAGTTTGTAATGGTTATCAGAATGTCATACGTGAAGTTGGTTATTTTTATTCCATGCGAATACCAATGCGATTTTCCTCATTATTCTTCAATATTTGCTATTAGAAAAAACATTACTTTTAATTTGGCTTCCTTTTCTTTGTAAGCATTTCTATTGAAGTATTTCCTTAAAATAACGTAACTATTCAACAAATAATAGATAAGTAGTTCGATATGAATTTAATTACAAGTTTTGAAAATTATGATCGGTAAAAAAAAACGTCATAAACTCTTAGAAACCGTGTGATACTTCTACGGTACCCAAAGGCCACGAGTTTTCTTCTTGGTTAGAAATCGTAAAACGTTGAGAATGGTAATCAGAAAGTGATCAATGACCCTAAAATGATCAAACTTCTTTTTAACAGAACCTCGATTTTATAAATAATAATGTGTATGAAAACAATAGTGAGTGTATTAGAGAATATTATAATATTAAATATTTAGAAAATATTTAATAAGAGGACTAAAATTTTTTCATAGTTTTTTATAATTTTAATTTAGGTTTTATATCTGAAGGTTGAATTCGGATTCCTGTAACTGTATCTAATTAAGCCTTAAATTTATTTTTGGTTTAAATGCATAAGCTGAAAATGTAATAAATAAGCGAATTATTGAATTCGTTTATATGAAAGCTTTGAGAACTGTTATAAGCGTTTTAAATGATTGCAAAGGAAATATATTTCTTTATTAACGAATATTAGTTATTTTATTTTGGATTTGAAAATCACAATGTGAAATACTAATGCAGTTTTTCATGAATGCAGGTCCTTTTCATAATTTATTCGATATTGTTATTAGAAAAATAATAATTTAAAAATAAATTGTTTGTTGTTTTTCATTGGCATTTTAATTTGAATAATTTTATAAAGCGAACCGAATTATTAAATAACTTATAGATTACTAATTGTATGCAGTTACAAATATGCAGGTTCAAATATGATATTTTGTTCCTTAACGTTTAACAGTTAATAATTCACAAACTAAATGACTAAATGAACTAAATGAAACTCGAATTGGGCAATTTCTTGGATTTAAAAAATAATCCTGTGTACTTAAAAAAGTGATCTAAAAGAATACAGATTATGTGACTCAATAAGAAGACAAATTAGAAGTAGTTCTATTCGTTGATAAGAATTATACTTAATTAGATATCAAATTTATCTCCGTAGTTGCATTTAAGTGAGCTAGAGATCATCTAAATATGTTATTTTGTCCTTACAGTTAATAAATCTTCAACTAATTGTCGCATATTAATTTTTTTATTCCATTGTACTCTCTGTACATTTTTCTACAGTGTTTCGCAATTTCAAGTTTTTGAGTCTCACAGTTGTTTCAGAGCAAGATAAAATTAAACGTTAAGTTGAACACGTAAAACAGCTGCGGCAGTACGATTTTTTAATATAGAGAGGAACTCGGTGGTTACGAATCTTGCGCAATACTCTTTTGATAGAAAGTAAGTAGCGTGTCTAGAAGTCGTGTTTAGTGCAAATTTATTGTTTAAACAATTGTCTTTTTTCATTGCTACATGCTAAACAGTGACATGGCATTAAATATCCAGACGCAACACTATTCCCTTTCTTTATTCTCTAATGTCTGGGTCACACTCAAATATATCTCGGATAAATATCCAGCTTAAGTTAGAGCGGCTGCCGTTTCCTTGTTGTACCACGACTTTATTTCTTTTTATTCTATTTTAAATTATTAATAATAGTCCAGGTAAGATTTTATTATCAATCACTTTTTGATTAAAATTAAAATATCTGTAAACAAAAATTTAATAATCTATATGAATACTTCTCTTATGCGGCACTATAAACTCAGGTATTTTTACAACATTATACATTTTGTTAAGTTGACTTAAGTAATATTTTAAGTAGTGTTGAATAGTTAGTTATGCGTTAAGTATTTATTTAGAATAATTTTGTATTATTTTAGAAATAAAAACCATATATATATATATATATATATATATATACTCTATAACAAAAANCTGTCAAATATATCGAAAAATAAAAGCCGGATCGAAAACGTGAAATAGGCACATTCAATATTTCTTAAAAAGCCGTCCAATGATTCCCCACTCGACCCCATCTTAAGTACAAATTCCTATTTTTTTCAGCAGTTTCGGATTTCCCAGAAATGAAGTTACCCTATTTGACATATAGATTCATGCAATTTGCTCCCCAGATGGTGCTAAAACCGAGAAAAACTAAATAAAGCACAAACTGCTTAAAATTGCGAAACTCGAAACCCCTCAAATTAAGAACATAAAAATAGAAATGTCTCAAATATTTTTATAGATTTTTTAATTTCTTTTTGTCAAGAAAATATTTTATAATATATTTTTATTTTTAATATTTGTTTCAAATTATTTTTATTTTGATTAAGATTCTGAAAATGGAAATTTTCAAATTTTTTTTTGTTTATTTCTTCGAAATTATTTCTTTTATTTGTTGAAAAAGTTACAGAAACAATTTGATATTTATTTTTTAATCTAATGGGAAAGATCAAATAGGGTCACTTTATTTGGAAAATCCAAATCTGCAATAAAAATATGGTTTCATTTTTAAGATTTCAAAGTTGCCCCTCACCCCACCTCCAAGGGATGGTGTGGGATAGCTAGTTTGGTATTATTATTCACTTTAAGAAAATATTGAACTTTTCTATTTTCACTCTTTCGTTCCGATGATCTCACGAGATATTTGATCATCGTACAACTTTTTTTACTTCCTGTATATGTGTTCTAAGTTAGAAATTTATATTTTATATTGTAATATAAAAATGACTTTACTGACTCTTATGTGTATCTTATTTTACTGTAATTATAAATTTATTGATTACAAAAATAGTGGCAGATGATTTGCACCTAGTCGTATAAAGGAACATTCTCCTAGTGTAGTAAAGTAAAGAACCGAAATTTCTCTATGATGTTCCAATACACCAAACTACTAACTAAAAAATTTTTACAGTGTAATTAAAATATTACAGATATAAAGCACAATTTCTTAATTGATATTTTATGATTTATAATTAATTCAAGTTTGAAAAATATGTGTTTATTTATACACTTTTTTTTAGGTCGCCAGAGTCTTTGGAGAAACTTTACGAATCTTACTTTTTCTCACACGACCATTATCAGAATATGTGCTCACCTATATCTATGAATTATTTATGGGAAAAACAAAACAATTGCCACCTATAGAAAATGAAATATTGCTTTTATCAGCATCAGAACTAGCTCGGAAAATTCGAAGACGAGAGGTAATATGCATTAACTACTTCTAAATTTGAATTCGTCGTATTGGTTATAAATAAATGATTCATTAATATTTATGCACCGTGTTTAGTGATAAGCGTTATTTATGCTAGTTGCTCAATTATGTCAATATTCATTCTCTAAACTTTTATAACGGTTGTATTTGTACTATTAAAAGTGGTGTCTTAATATTGTAAAGTTTGAGTTCACTTATTACGCTATTGCACAGTGGGCCAGCAATCCAAGGTTTCGTGGCCAAAATTAGTACTTCGATAAAATTTGTTTCAAAATTTGGGGTTTTTTATTTAGGGTTTTCATATGCAGGTAAATTGAATTCATAGTTGAAATTTTGAAATACACTAATAATACCAATAAGAAAATTACAAGATTGTGGCTGAAATATGGCGAGCGCAAAAAAAAAAAATTATATAATATATAAGCAGAAAAATGCTGCTTTTTAATAGAACTAGCATGTTCCAAATCTAAAATAATCTTATTTTGTTTAATTTATTCTAAGCTATGCAATTTCATCGATGTGTAAATTTTTAAAATGTTTGTCATTCTTGATAATTAGTGGCAATTCAATGGCTGCATGGAAAGGGTTTTCAAAAGTTTCATGTTGTTGACTAGATTACCGCAATTTTTTTCAAGAAAAATTGCAGATTTTGAGGAAAATAATAATTTTATTTTATTAGATATTTAATCATATTCTTAGTGTTCAAATGCGTGATAGTACTGGAATATTTTGCTTCGAACATTGTATCAGTTGTATCATTGCATACGTTGTAAAAAAAGATGTTTTTGTGAATTTGAAATATTTAAATTTGTATGTTTGTCTCAGAAATGTTTGAGTATAGGAAATGTATTAAAGGTACCATTTTCAAAGTTTTTTCTCCAAATGTAAAACTTTCATGCGCATATTCTCATCAGATTTTTGTTTACTGTATTTTAAATCGATACCATATTTTTATAATTTCGGACTATGGATTTAATTAAGTAGGATAAAAAAAATCGTTATGTGAGGAGAATCGCACCTTTTTTCTTAAAAAAAATGTAAAGAAACGAACGAAACAATAGATTTTTAAGAAATGGATCCCAGAATCATTTATAATACCAGAAAATACAGAAACCGAAAAATAAAGGGTATTTATTGTTAAGTCAATCATTGAATTTAGATGGTACAGTGAAGGATAAAAATGGAAATGTTAGTGATGACAATCATTTCCATCAAATGGAAATGATTAAAAAATATATTATATTAAAAATGTCATTTTTCAACTACATTTGAAATAGATTTACAGATTGAAATTATTTTTTAAAAAAATGCATTGCATTGTTTCCTAAATAAATGAACAAAATATTTTAAATATTTTTAAATCTTTTTGAACTAAAATTATTTTATTAATACTTGTTCTTATGTAACTGAACGAAAGAAAGATTATCATATTCTAGCAATTGCTCACTAAAAGCGAAATCTTTATGCATTTAATTTTATCAATTTTTAACATTATCTTTCAAATTTTTGAGCCATTTGTCATTTTAGGTAGGAATCAAAAGTCAGTAATGTTGTTTCCGGTTTCCCATATCGTATATCATATTTTTATATTTTTCTAAATCATATTTTAATAGTTTTGCACCATTTTAGATAAAAATTCTGTCATTATCGCATCAATAACAATAATTATGTGGCTGGGTGGCTGGGTGGCGCAGTTGGTTTGTCGTCGGCCTTCTGAGCCCAAATCTGCGGGTTCGATCCCCGGCCCAGACACCGGATTTTCGGGATGCAGAAAATCCTCAGCGGCCATGTCGTATGATTATTCGGCATGTAAAAGATCCCTGGAGTGCCTTATTGGCTCTTGGCATTTCCGGCAAAATTAAATTCCTAGTGCACTTTAGCATCCAAATAGAGTCTCGGTGCTGCCATCTAGTGTGGCAGAAACTAGACGTCCAAATTAACATGACCAACGGTATCTCACCCATTGTGGTGGTCCTGAAAGAGTGGATACCACTTCTGGAGAAACGCACTAGGTCTGCTCATCAGGAACACTGATTGTGCAGCTCATTGGAAATAAAAAAAAAACAATAATTATAAATAATAATTATAAAAGTTTGGATCCCAGGAGCATTTTGTATATGAGAAAATGTGGGAAATGAAAAAAACTAATGAAATAAATTATCAGTGATTATTAGGTTAGTGATTGAAATTAGCTACAGGGTAAAAAATTCCCGATCAAGTTATGATATTAAGTATCGGCACTTTGGCTGCATCATGCTTAAAACCCATTTTACAGTCTAATATTATACCGTAATTCTTATAGTAATATATATTTAATTCGAGTGATTCAGTGATTTTACTGTAATTATTACAATAAGAATTACGGCATATGTCAGATTTTTAGCTCCGTAACATGCTCCGATAAAAATATATTATACGTTAAAAAATACCGGTACACAAAATTCCGATACTTTTTTTCGTAGTATGATCTGGAATTTCTTGCAGTGTAGAACCCCACTTTTCAGTAAAATGGAAATAATTTAAAATATATTAAAAAAAATGTAATCTTAACAACATAAATTTTAAATATACTTACGCATTGGAATTATTTAAAAAAAATATTGCATTATTTTCCAAAATAAATAAACATAATTTTTTACATTTTTCGTGTTTTTTTTTTTAAATTTGGATATTTTTTTAATCGTACTTGTTTTGAATGACCGAATTCTATGAAGTTTTATTTTAATGCGCTAAACTGAGAACAAGTCGTTTAAATTAGTTAACAATATATTTTAATATAAAACAATATATTTTAATACAAACAAAATATTTTAATTCAATTTTCGTAAAAATAAGCACATTATGCTAAAAAAAAGGTACTTCAAATTATTGAAATATGTTACGCATTTTATTTTTCTGCACAATGTTTTCTAAAACAATTATAGAAACGAACAGAGTCCAAATCAAACACAAACGCACACGAAAAAAACTCATTTATCTTTTTTATTTTTTCATTTATCTTTATTTCATTTTTATAGCAGATGAAACCTCAGCATCGAGAATAAAGAAAGTTACATTTCCTCACGTGACTAAAACGAAAATGTTCATATCATGACCCGATTAATTGTTTACAAGTGACAACTTATTTTTTAGGCCAACGGGGTAGTCAGCATTATAGGCCGCATGAAATAAACATCTCCAGGCTTTCATCTATTTCGCCACACTCAAGCATTTATGAAACATATTTTTTCTAGCGGCCATTGTGTTTATGATAAGCGTTGATAGAAAACATGAAAGTAAGTTTTTATGTTTATTATCTAAACAGTTTATTTTAACGATAATGACGGTATACTGTAAATTTAACCCCTTATAAGGCCACTTCTTTTTAGCAATGTACTGTTGGAATTTTAATTCTGAAATTACGGTGAAATAACCGTAAAGTTTAACCATAACCATAAAGTTTATGGTTAGGAATATTTTTTTAACTTTTATGGTTTTGAAACCGTTTACAACTAGCATAGTTTCTAAACCATAAAAATGGTACTTAAGCGAACATTGGAGCTCTGCGCGTACTGCACCATTTATGCGTGAATGATAGTTCCGTGTTCTATTAAGCCAGAGTCTTCCGATTGAGGGGAGAAGAATAACTTTTCATGTATTGAAGCAACGGAAGAAATATTGTAGTACCAACGAATCCCTATTAAGCCTATCCTGAAATAAACCGATCAGCCTTCTCAGCTACAGTATGTATCCAGCTGTACGGAACAAAATGGCTTTATAAGGTGAGACTTGTGGGCGCGGATCGAATTACTGTTGTTTGCCCGTATTAGGAAAAAACAATCAATAAGTGTTTTTCCTTACACTTAAAGTTGTGAATATCATCATTTTTATGGTTATTTGATAGTTTTGGTTGAATATGGTAAAGTAACAATTAAATGAATAGCTACTTAATCATTTTTACCGTAAAATTTCAAATAGTGTGTTGTGTTGAAATATTTATGATATTGAGATTGATTTATCAAAAGAAATACATTAAGCATATAGCTTAAAATTAATTTTATTTTTAAGACCATTTTTAGATGGTAAGGTGGATGATAATTTTTCCGAATTTTACCGTCTGTAAGCAGATGACCGAAATCTTGAACTTCTGTGCTTCTAAAAAACTGAATTTATAAATTCTGCATTTATAAATACAAACAAACTGGAAGAGAAATGATCAAATGAATACACAAAGCAAGAGAGAAAATCTATCCTCAGAGCTAGCGTCTCTTCTTGACCTCTCGCAAGCCTTTACTGTACATGGCACTAAATCTTTCGTCATTTTTATTTTCTGTCTACTAAAGATATCGACAAGTAACTGCAAAAATCATAGGGGATAAAATAGTTTCCAATCAACATTTAAAAATTAATGAATTTGTAGAAAGTATAGTTCCCATGGCCTTATAAAGGGTTAATAGGGCTTGTTGTTACCAATCTGTATTTAATTCAAAATCCGGATGAATATGTATTTATTTTAGCGCTTAAATAAAATGATGCTTAAATTTACTTACATGCCGTAAATAAATTAATTAATTTCATTTTTAAATTGCATTTTAATTTTGATTCAGAAATATTTTTCTAATTCATAATGATTTTCCGCACAAATAAACTATTAGATATATTGAACACACGAATATTCCAGATACGAATGATTATATATTGTACAATATATTGGTATGGAAATATTTACCTGTTCTAATTACTTGGAATGTATACTTTTTATAGTTAAAATCTTCATTTGATTCATTTGCATAATTTTAAATAAAACTAACAAATATGTATATCATACGCAAATTAATTAATCTCGATTTTAAATTAAATTTTACTGTTGATTCAGAAATATTTTTCTGTTTTGATAATGATTCTCCTCTCAAATATACAATTAATATATATTGTACATACGAATATTCTAGATGCGAAAGATTATAGATTACACAATATGTTGATATGGAAACATTTTCAATTACATTTAAATTACATTGTACTGTTGATTCAGAAATATTTTTCTGTTTTATAATGATTCTCCGTTTAAATATATAATTAGATATATTGTTTATACGAATATTGTAGATACGAAAGATTATATATGATGCAATATGTTGGTATGGAAACATTTTCAATTCTATTTGTAACTGTTCCAATTGGTTGGAATATATGCTTTTTATTGCTAAAATCTTCACTTTACTTACTTTCATAACTTAAAATAAAACTAACAAATACCAACTCAAACCAAATAATTTTTAATCATTTTTGTTTTTAATTTAAAAATAGAGAAAGGAAGTGCATAAAAAAGTCTCCTTCTTTTAAAAAATCATTTGTTCATCATTTCCTTATCGCATAATCACTGTAACAGTTATCATTTAAAAAAAATTCTCTATGAATTATCAAATGCGTGTTAAACAATAAATTTTCCTGTTTGCGGTTAAGACTTAAGTTTAAACCTATAGAAAATTTGTTGAAGAGGCTGTCATGGTATGAATTCATTTTTTTTAAATAAAATTTATTAGTTTTTGAACAGAGGGAACAATAATTAAAATAAAAGTCTCAGTTAATTAAAGCAACGTTCAGGATTTTTTTACACATGGAAAATGATTTTGTTATTGTATTTGAACTATATTGCTAAAGGAACTTCCGAAAGTCTGAACATTGAAACAAGCTAAACTAAACTTAGTGGCGCGATAGCCCATAGAGGGCCAAGACCTACTGTGCCCATTTCATTTTTCTTGACTTTGGGCTCTGGGGTGCAGGAGCAGATGTTCCGGTTAGGTGGTCAGTCGAACGCGGAACCCCCAGCGTTTAGTTCCCAAGCATGCTTGGCACTCATTTTATCGACTCACTGCAGGAAGGAAACACTGAGTCAACCTTTCCCGCTCCGAGGATCGAACCCAGGACCTGTGGTAAGGGAGCGAGGAGCTCTACCACTCAGCCACCAGGTGTCAAAGTAATTGAAATATGAGGTTAAATATTAAAATGTAATTTTAAAAACACAAATATTCAATTAAAATATTAACAATTTGTGATTTAAAAATTAAAATGTAAAAATACTTAGTTCAAAATATTATTTAAATCATAAGAGAGAACATTGAAACAATGAAAATATCAAAACGAATTGCTTGAATTGTGATGTTCGACAACTACACTATAAACACTGAGGTGTAACATCTTTCCGAATATGTTGTTGGTCAACCAAAAAAATTTTGTGAATAAGCACCTCATTTTAAGTTAATGCCGAATCGAACCTAGCTATCATATACAATTTAAAGGGTGTAATTTAAATCTTAATTCCTGAAGTGGAAAAAGCTTATACCAATCTCTGGCGCATTCACGCCGCACTTGAGTTATTTTCGCTTCCAAAACACGAATGTTGGCACACTTCGGATATCGTTATTAGTATGCTTCCTATCCAGTATGAGTTAGTATGAGTCTGTCATTTGCTGTGCTGCTTTAAGTCAACAGAAACATAAAGTTCGCTGCCATAATATGTATGTATGTTTTTGATTGTAGTAATAAGGATGACTATATTTTTATTTATTTTTATATTTTTACGAACGGTGTTAAATGATTTTGTAATGTATAATGTCTATCCATTTCAGCTTTGTTAAGCCTAGTTCGAATTCGTCTTTAGTCTTATTGTGACATATATAAATTTACAAACTAATTTAATTTTAAGAATTAGTGTTACAAAAGTTTGAAAACTGTCAAATATATCGAAAAATAAAAGCCGGATCGAAAACGTGAAATAGGCACATTCAATATTTCTTAAAAAGCCGTCCAATGATTCCCCACTCGACCCCATCTTAAGTACAAATTCCTATTTTTTTCAGCAGTTTCGGATTTCCCAGAAATGAAGTTACCCTATTTGACATATAGATTCATGCAATTTGCTCCCCAGATGGTGCTAAAACCGAGAAAAACTAAATAAAGCACAAACTGCTTAAAATTGCGAAACTCGAAACCCCTCAAATTAAGAACATAAAAATAGAAATGTCTCAAATATTTTTATAGATTTTTTAATTTCTTTTTGTCAAGAAAATATTTTATAATATATTTTTATTTTTAATATTTGTTTCAAATTATTTTTATTTTGATTAAGATTCTGAAAATGGAAATTTTCAAATTTTTTTTTGTTTATTTCTTCGAAATTATTTCTTTTATTTGTTGAAAAAGTTACAGAAACAATTTGATATTTATTTTTTAATCTAATGGGAAAGATCAAATAGGGTCACTTTATTTGGAAAATCCAAATCTGCAATAAAAATATGGTTTCATTTTTAAGATTTCAAAGTTGCCCCTCACCCCACCTCCAAGGGATGGTGTGGGATAGCTAGTTTGGTATTATTATTCACTTTAAGAAAATATTGAACTTTTCTATTTTCACTCTTTCGTTCCGATGATCTCACGAGATATTTGATCATCGTACAACTTTTTTTACTTCCTGTATATGTGTTCTAAGTTAGAAATTTATATTTTATATTGTAATATAAAAATGACTTTACTGACTCTTATGTGTATCTTATTTTACTGTAATTATAAATTTATTGATTACAAAAATAGTGGCAGATGATTTGCACCTAGTCGTATAAAGGAACATTCTCCTAGTGTAGTAAAGTAAAGAACCGAAATTTCTCTATGATGTTCCAATACACCAAACTACTAACTAAAAAATTTTTACAGTGTAATTAAAATATTACAGATATAAAGCACAATTTCTTAATTGATATTTTATGATTTATAATTAATTCAAGTTTGAAAAATATGTGTTTATTTATACACTTTTTTTTAGGTCGCCAGAGTCTTCGGAGAAACTTTACGAATCTTACTTTTTCTCACACGACCATTATCAGAATATGTGCTCACCTATATCTATGAATTATTTATGGGAAAAACAAAACAATTGCCACCTATAGAAAATGAAATATTGCTTTTATCAGCATCTGAACTAGCTCGGAAAATTCGAAGACGAGAGGTAATATGCATTAACTACTTTTAAATTTGAATTCGTCGTATTGGTCATAAATAAATGATTCATTAATATTTATGCACCGTGTTTAGTGATAAGCGTCATTTTTACTCATTGCTTGCTCAATTATGTCAATATTCATCCTCTAAACTTCAATAACGGTCGTATTTGTACTTTTAAAGTGGAGTCTTAATATTGTAAAGTTTAAGTCCACTTATTGTGCCATTGAACAGTGAGTCAGCATCCAAGGTTTCGTGGCCAAATATAGTATTTCGATCAAATTTGTTTCAAAATTTTTGGGGGCTTTTATTTAGGGTCTTCGTGTGCAAGTAAATTGAATTCATAGTTAAAATTTTGAAACACACTGAAAATACCAAAAAAAAAAACAAGATGATGGCTGAAATATAGCGAGCAACAAAAAAAATATGTATATATATATATATATAGATCTTTATAGTGCGTTTAAATAATTAAATATAGCAATAGAATTTAATATCTTTCGTAATTTTATATTAAAAATGAAAAGCAAATTATATTTTCGAGGTAATACTACAAAATAACGCGATTTAATTACAAAATAACTCGAAAACATGAAGAAAAAAAACATGATTTTTGTTTTTCGGTATATTTAGTTCACCTTTGCAATATGGGCAAAATGGGACAGTATTTTTCGAAAGAAGAAACATCAAGGAAGACCACAAAAAAAAAAAAACGTTTACTAATTACCTCGTGGAACTTTTCGGAGATAAGTTTCGAAAGTGATTCAAGCATTCTAAAATGTCAAATAAGATATAAACTAAAAGTTTGTCAAGAGTATTAACAAATCCAACAAATTGAAAAATTGCACTATAATTTCAGACTAATTACTTTGATAAAAATGCAACAGAAAGGTGAAATTCCTATATATATTTCTGAAATATAAATTTAAAAGTTACATTTAAAAAAAAATCTTTTTAACATATTTTTCACTACATTGTACTCTCGTCGGTCCAAAAAATAAATTATAATGTTTGGAATGATTATGAATATTTAATTTGAGCGATATTAAAGCTGCCTAAGCATATTTTGGTTCAAATTTTATTTTTGACTTTTGGCCATGGTCTTCTGGCCTACTGTGCATTGGTGAAAAACTTCGAAATTTGTGTTCCTATTTTGAAAACGAGACAGAGGAAAAAAAGTACATAATGTTGTAAAGTAAGTTCGACTAAGAACAAATAGACAATTTTTAACAAGTAATTCTTATGAAAAATGCTCAAAACTAGCATTTGTCTGCACCTTAAAAATGGATACACAAATATCACGAAAGTTTTTTCGTTTCTGACGGACACTGTTGCCAGGTGCCGATAACCGTTCATCCCCAGATGGCGTTGTAAAATCCCCTACAAAATTTTTAAAAAAAACCCCAAAATTTTTAACTTAATTTATGAGTAATAAAAAATAGTACAAAAGTTAAATACTGTATAGAAAACGTTGCTTTCATGCTTTTTAATATTTTATTATCAACAAATTAATCTTTTTTGCATTTCAATCGTTACATTATCTTTAATTTCTACTGATATTTAAGATATTTTTTTCAATATCTTTTGACTCGCACATTTTTTCGTAAATATTTTATTATCAGTGATATAGACTTTTTATATTTTAATTATAACATTATGCTTAAATTTCTGATAAAATATCCAACATATTTTCGTCAATACTTTTTGATTTCAATATGTTTTCGCTGATAAACATTTTTAGCATAGAAGAAGTAAGTACAAAATTTTGATAACCATTAGAGAGCTCATATCGAAAGCGCAAAATAGTATCAGCTGTTATTATAGACATTTTATTTCTCAATTTGTCTTTAATAATACTTAATATGGAGAAACATCTCTCCCCAGCTGCATTTGAAAACGGGATACATAATAAAGCTTTCGTACGCACTTCTTTTTTTCTTTATCCTCTGGCATTATTTTTAAACCATGCACATTAAAAATTTTAAATAATTTGAATTCAAATTCACCAAACATGCAGGTTGATTGAGCTAAGTTATAACTTACTACATTCAACTACATTAAGTTCTAAAATTAAATCTTTTTGTTTCGGTTTAACATATTGATTTTCATATTACCATCTCACGCATTCAGTTATAAAATTTGATATTAGAATGTAACCAAAATGAAACTAGTAAAATCCACAAATAACCCTAAAACAGACCCCTAAAAACAAATTCCCCTAAAATACCCACGGAAGATAAAAAAATCCCCCTAAATTTAGGGGGAAAATCCCTTATCTGGCAACACTGCTGACAGAACCGTTTCTTGATATATGCTCCGAACAAAAATTTCATCAAAGTGACGAAATAAATATCGTCACTTCTTTGAGGAAACAAAGTTTGTCAAAATTAAAGATGTATTTCGTCATTCTATTTTATTAAAAAAAAAATAATCTAGCAGTGCCTAATGTTTTTACCTTTTTCAATAATCACTTAACCGTAGGCTGGTAGGCTGGTAATTGGTGGATCATTGCCGTCCTAACAACACAAGAAAGACAGATTACACCCATGTGTCCGATCAATACCTCCTAGAAAAGAGAGGGCCTCAGCACGGGTTACCATAAACAATAAATTTGATCCTTTCATAGTCCAAACGTAATAACATCTTTAGTATTTGCCACCACTGGGAATCTTAGTAGCATGAACGTCGTGACTTATTTCTTATTTTTTAACCACTACTTAATTCATGTTCGTTAAGGCGGACTACTAAATTGATCCGTGCTGAAGCCTTCTTTCTTCTAGGAGGTGTTGGTCCGATGCGGGATACGAAACTGAGATCTTCCTGGTATGAGATCAGCTTCTTAACCGCGATACAAGCCCGTCGGCATGTCTCATCACTTTATTTTCGATCGTCTAGTCTTCATTCTAGTTTCGCCTTTCTAGTTAACAATCTCCCACAATGCACTACGATGAGGTTTCGAGATGAGGAAACATTTTCGTCATACATTTAAGAGTTTGAGTTTCATCACATATAACGTGATTTTATTGACGAAATGATTCTGAAAATTAACGAAATACAGCTTAAGAATTTCTGAATCGTCAAAAGTGAGAGCTTAATTTATGAGAGTGTGTTTCTGAGCAGTAATGTGAGCAACCGCTGTTAGTAAAAGAAACTAACTCGTTTTTTATAATTATAAATATTTTGAGCATTATTAATGAACACAAGTTTTATATTTCTAACAACGAATATCACTCTACAACATTTTTATTCAATTGTTTCATTTATATCAAACTCTATTTAATCTAGGAACGCTATCTTCCTAATTTCCTGAGAGGTAGCGCTTCAAGCAGCGCATAATGCCATTTAATTGTACTTAGTATCACTTCTGTCGAAAACTCTCCAATGTTAATAGTTGATTAGTGGGTACCTTATATAGATTTTTAGATTCTATCAAAAGTTAAGTAAATTTCAAACTAAATAATAAAATATATCGAAATACGATGAGCCCTCATCAAATGGAATAAATGAATAGGCACAAGGACTGCGTTGATATTTACAAAAGAAAATTTGTTTCTTAGACGCGGCCTAAGAACGTTGCACGTCATGGGAATTTTTTTTAAAATACATATTTTAAGAAAGTTGCTAGACACCTCAAATTTTTCCCATAAATCATTCCATGTTTCCTTCTTTTTTTAATTAAAACATTTTCCTCTCCTTATTACCATATCTATATAAATAGAGTACGTAGTTGAAAATTAACTACGTAAACTATTATTATGAAGAGTACAAGCATAGAAATTACGTACAGAACTCAGCATTTTGTTTACATTAAAAATTTTGGGACTTCGGTCAAAATCTCCGTGGCATTTTTCTATTAATTAGTACGAAAATTATGCTCCAAGAATTTTTGTACTTTTTGTAAATATAATAGCTGCAGCAAGGTTATGCGATTTTCCTACTCGTTACACGTTTTCTCTTTCCAAATTTCTTCTTTTCCCAAATTTTTTCTTTTTCAAAAATTCCCAATTTTTGGCAAATCTAGCTCTTTTTAGAGCCGTGGTGGCTCAGGGGACAGAGCGTTCACCTTCAAGTGAGGTGAATCTAGTTCGAATTCCAGTGATGGCTGATCGATATGAATTCCACACAGACCAAAGTGTTGACGTAAAATATCCCCAGAGGTAGACGGATCATGTCTTAGAATCCCCTTTCCGTCGGACTAACCATGGGTGTTTTTCGTGGTTTTCCTCTCCACTTAACGCAAATGTAGTTCCATCAAAAAGTCCTCCACGAAAGCAAATTTCTTCCAATACTCAAACAAGGAATTCCCTTGTCAAAATTACATTGGGTTCAAAATTACAACCCTACAGAGCTGAACATCAATAATCGTAAACCTAAAATCGGGTCGACTGTTCAATGACGGTTACAATATCTGGATTTTTCTCAAGGCAGTATGTTTATCAATAAGACATTGGAACAAATTTGCGTGGAGGAAAAAGCAAGATTTTTCGAAACCGTGGTTAAGGAGAGGTGAAAAGTGTAGAGAGTGGAGAAATCGCGGGACCTTGAGATGCCTATTTCTTACAAATAGTATAACGAGTCTTAAATAATGTAAGTATTGAAAATCTTTTTGTTTCCTATAGATCAGAAGTGAAGAAATAGTGAGAGCTTACGCAGAAAGGTGCAGAGTGGTAAATCCTCTAATTAATGCAATTGTGGATGAGCGGTATGATGATGCTCTCAACGATGCCAGGGCTGTGGATAAGTTCTTAAGCAGCACAGATAAGTCCGAAGAGCAAATTGCAAAGGAGACACCCCTTTTAGGTGTTCCATTTTCTTGCAAAGAAGCAATAGGTGTTAAAGGTAATGAGCATTGTGTATTTTAATTTTAATTAAATCGTTGTTCAAAACCTTGTCCTAGGTACAATCGATTGCAGAGTGTAAGGAAGAGTAAGTACACTATTAAAAATTGATACTCAAATATCACGAAACTTTCTTCATTTCTGACGAAATCGTTTCGTGGTATATGCTTCTACCGGAAATTTCGTCAAAGTTATGAAATAGTTATCGTCACTTCTGCAAGGAAACGATTTACGTCAAAATAAAGAAATATTTCGTCATTCTATTTTTTCCAAAAAAAATTCAAAGTGCATAATGCACTTACTCTTGCAAATAATGACTTTATCACGGGTACTAGATAGGTGGTAGAACACAACATGGACATATAGAACAGAGATTTAAGATACTTTGATGCCCAAAACAGGTTTCGAACCTCAGACCTTGCTGGCACGAGAACAACACCTGTCGATTGCATGACCACCATACTGTCATCAGGTTTAATTTGTCATTTTATTTTCGATTATCTAGTCTTTATTCTAGTTTAATCTTTCTAGTTAATCTCCCACAATACACTACGGTTTCAAGTTGAGGAAACATTTTCACCATATACTTGAGAGTTCGCGTTTCGTCACAAATCATGCGATTTGTTGACGAATGATTCTCCAAATTAAGGAAGTACTGCTCAAGGATTGTTGACTCACCAAAAGTGAGAGTTTCATATCTGAGAGTGCAGAGGTCAAAATTTTGACTAGCCCTATCCAGAACAATTTAAGCAATTATTTTGAGTACTTTATGAAACATTTCTGCTGTTCCAGGTGTTCCTGATTTTTTAAAGTGTATTTACATTGCCTAGGTTATTTCTGCAAAAATAGCTTCTAAAAGTAAATGTATGATCCCTAGATACTGAAGCGAAATGATATACTTGATGCTTTTTTTATTTTATTTTATTTTATTTTTTAACCGTCTTTGAACAGCCGACCCAATTTTAGGTTAACGACTACTAATGTTCAACTTCGTAGACTTGCAATTTTGAACGAAATGCAGAAGACAAGGGAACTCCTGGATCAAGTTTTGAGGGAAATTAGCCTTTGTGGAGATCTTCCTGATGAAACTAACGTACATTTGCGTTACATGGAGATGAAAACCGCGAAAGCCACCTACGGTTAGCCTGATGACAAAAGGACTTTATAATATGCCGGTATACCACTGAGGTTATTTTACGTCAGCAATGTGGTTGGCGCAAGCCAGGTGCGCAATTCGTATAGACTAGCCATCGCTGGGGTTTAGAACCCAGTTTACCTCATTGGAAGGTGAACACTCTACCCCCTGAGCCACCACGGCTCTACTTGATGTCTTAAAAACTTCATTAAAAAATTAAAATTTTCAAAATCATGAAGATGCTAGTAAAAATCGACCTGTTTTAAGTGCTACAAAATATGATCTTATTCTCGAGACACGCCAAACGTGAATATCCTTAGTCTTAAAAATGGTTCACCTTAGTCTTGAGAATAGGTCACTATTTTTTAGCACTCGAAACATGTCGACATATGCTACCATCTTCATAGTTTTTAAGCAAATGGAGTTTTTATATCATCAAGTTTCTAAAATGTTATTATCAGAGCCCCATGATTGACAAGACATAACTCTTTCATGTAATACTTGTAAGCCTCTCACAGAAAAAAAAAGATTTTTAAAACATCGTAGATAAAAGGTACGTATTTTTAGTAACATCTGAATGTTTCTAGTATAATATGTATCTGGTTTGAACTATTTTGCTTTAGACTGTTTATTTTACTTCAACCGAATAACTAAGCAGCATTCGTAAATCTTGACTTTTCCATCATTAAGTAACATTAACTGTTGTTATCTAGGAATGACTCAAACTAGTGGAATAGTTGCTGCAAAAGGAAGAGTTGCCGAAGTTGATTCTGAAAGCGCTGCACTTTATAGAAAAGCTGGTGCTATTCCTTTAGTTGTTACAATTGTACCTGAGCTATGCATGTGGTGGGAGAGCGCTAACTTATTGCACGGAATGCCTAGAAATCCTTACAATAACACACGCACCGTTGGGGGAAGTACAGGTAAGCCACATTACGAAGTAATGCGATATGTTATTAATAATATACTAAATATATATACCAAGAAAAAAGTGTGGTTACCTAGAATATGGTACGATTTACCGTGTTTCTGGCTCTATGGGAATACCAGAAAGCTCGATAATTTTTATCGATGCGCTTTTGTAATGATTTTGGTAAAATCTAATATATATAATTCTCTTACGTGGCTCCCAAATTTTGGCTGTATTTCTTTTCCACCGGTCGCAACGTTTGCTTTGTTTTGTTTACGTTACTATTTCTCTTACACGACGAATCGACCAATGATTGCCGCTTAAGATGTCACATGCCAAATCTAGCTGAGGTGGTTCAGCATATAGCGCTTTTAAAACGGAAACGGAAATAACCAGAGAGCATCAACTGCGGCAATCTCTTACTATTAAGCTATGTAGAAGTGAGTAGTCTTTGTCGATAGATCTCTATTTTAGTATTTTGTCGAAAGCGCTTTTTTTTTCCACGAATTTATGTATTACGAATTTATTTGACGATGATTGATTTATATCACGAATTATACTATAGCACATTTCTAATAGGTTTAACAAATTACATTTCATTTATTTGAATTCAAATTTATTGTAATGACTTAGTATTCACTAAAAATATGTAATTTTTTTAAAAAAAAAAGTTTTTATATGGATTTAAATGATTGTTTTGAATTCTTGGAATTTTGTGCATTTGCAATGTACCTAACTTAGTAGCGAACGAAGTGAGCTTGATTTGCGAAGCAAACCATATAAGATTGGGTAGCAATTTTCAGGGGTTGGAGAGCGTTAGCGAGCAGGGGGCGCAGCCCACTAGTTAATAATAAAATATGTTTTTTTTAATATATGATAAAAGTTGGTAATTTTATCATGATATGGCATAAAAAGCATTTATCCGGCTACATTAATTTTTGAGTTTTGTATCTTTTAATAAGTGTGTGATAATAAAAACTATAATTTGGTAACCGGAATTTCCAGTAAATCCTTGCCATATAAACGGAAAAAAATACCAAATGATTGGTTTAAGTACCATAGAGTTCAGTTTTTAATTCCAGAATTGTGAGGTTTTCTTTAACAGAAATGTTATTACCATATAGTACAGTAATTATACTAAATATTTTTTCTCCGTGTAATACTTGGAATAACAGAATTTGATTAGTAAAAAATTTAACTANCAAATATATCGAGAAATAAACGCCGGATCGAAAAAGTGAAATAGACACATTCAATATTTTTTGAAAAGCAATCCAATGATTCCCCACTCGATTCCATCTTAAGTACAAATTCCTATTTTTTTCTGCACTTTCGGATTTCCCAGAAATGAAATTACCGTATTTGACATATAAATTCATGCAATTTGCTGCACAAATGGCGCTATAACTGAGAAAAACTAAATAAACCCTAAACTGTTTAAAATAGTGAAACTCGAAACCTGTCAGATTAAGAACGTAAAAATTGAGATGTTTCGAATATTTTTATAGATTCTTTAAATTTTCTTTTTTGTGGACAAAAAATATTTTATAATCTACTTTTATTTTTAATATTGTTCTAAATTATTTTTATTTTGATTGAAATTATAAAAAATGGTAAAGTTTACAAAATTTTTGTTGATTTCTTCGAAATTATTATTATTATTATTTATTTTTTTTTTGAAAAAAATTACAGAAACAATTTTATATTTATTTTTTAATCTGATGGGAAAGGTCAAATGGGGTCACTTTACTCGGAAAATCCACATCTGCAATAAAAATATGGTTTCACTTTTAAGATTTCAAAGTTGCCCTCACCCCACCTCCAAGGGGTGGTGTGGGATAGCTAGTTTGGTATCATTAGTCACTTTAAGAAAATATTGAACTTTTCTACTTTCGTTCCGATTATCTCACGAGATATTTGATCATCATACAATTTTTACTTCCTGTATATGTGTTTTAAGTTAGAAATTCATATTTTATATTGTAATATAAAAATGACTTTTCTGACTCTTATGTGCATCTTATTTTACTGTAATTATACATTTATTGAATTAAAAAATAGTGGCAGACGACTTACACCTAGTCGTATAAAAGAACTTTCTCCTAGTGCAGTAAAGTACTAAGAGTCGCAATTTCTCTACGATGTTCCAATACACCACTTACTGAAAATTTTTTACAGTGTAATTAAAATATTACAGACATAAAGCACAATTTTTAAATTGATATTTTATAATTCATAATTAATTCAAGTTTGAAAAATATGTGTTTATTTATACACTTTTTTAGGTCGCCAGAATCTTTGGAGAAACTTTACGAATCTTACTTTTTCTCACACGACCATTATCAGAATATGTGCTCACCTATATCTATGAATTATTTATGGGAAAAACAAAACAATTGCCACCTATAGAAAATGAAATATTACTTTTATCAGCATCAGAACTAGCTCGGAAAATTCGAAGACGAGAGGTAATATGCATTAACTGCTTCTAAATTTGAATTCATCGTATTGGTTATAAATAAATTATTCATTAATATTTCTGGACTGTGTTTAGTGATAAGCGTCATTTATACTGGTTTCTCAATTATGTCAATATTCACCCTCTTAACTTTTATAACGGTCGCATTTGTACTTTTAAAAGTGGTGTCTTAATATTGTAAAGTTTAAGTCCACTTATTACGCCATTGGTGAAAAACTTCGAAATTAGTGTTCTTATTTTGAAAACGAGACAGAGGAAAAAAAGTACTTAATGTTGTAAAGCAAGTTTTCGACTGAGAACAAATAGACAATTTTTAACAAGTAATGCTTATGAAAAATTCTCAAAACTCGCATTTGTCTGCACATTAAAAATGGATACACAAATATCACGAAAGTTTCTTCGTTTCTGACGGACATTCTTGACATATGCTCCGAACAAAAATTTCATCAGTGACGAAATAAATATCTTCACTTCTTCGAGGAAACAAAGTGATTAGTGGGTACTTTATATAGGTTTTTAGACTCTATCAAAAGTTAGGTAAATTTCGAACTAAATAATAAAATATACCGAAATGAGATGAACCCTCATAAAATGGAATAAATTAATGGAGATAAAGGTTGAGCTGATATTTACAGAAATCAGTTTGCTTCTTAGATTCGGCCGAAGAACGTTGCATGCAATGGTGTTTTTTTTTAATACATATTTTAGGAAAATTGCTAACCATCTCATTTTTCTCTCCCAAATCATTCCACATTTCCTTCTTTTTTTAACAATTTTCCTCTCAGTAATATTATCTCTATAGAAGTAGAGTGCGTACCTAACTTAAAATTAACTACGTACACTATTAATATATGAAGAGTCCAAGTATAAAAATTAAGTACAGAACTCAGCATTTTGTTAATATTAAAAGTTTGGGGCTTCGGTCAAAATTTCCGTGACATTTTTCCATTAATTAGTGCGAAAATTATGTTCCAAGTATTTTTATACTTTTTGTAAATATAATAGGTGTGGCAAGGTTATGCGTTTTTCCTACTCGTAACACTTTTTCTTTTTCCAAATTTTTTGTTTTCCAAAAATCTCCGATTTTTGGCAAATATGGCTCTTTTCAGAGCCATGGTGGCTCAAGGGATAGAGCGTTCACCTTCAAATGAGGTGAATCTAGTTCGAATTCCAGTGATGGCTGGTCGATACGAATTCCACACACCACCAAAGTGTTGACGTAAAATATCCTCAGAGGTAGACGGATCATGGCTTAGAATCCCCTTTCCATAGGGTTAACCGTGGGTAGTTTTCATGGTTTTCCTCTCCATGTAACGCAAATGTAGGCTAGTTCCATCAAAAAGTCCTCCACGAAGGCGAATCTCTCCCAATAGTTAAACCAAGAATTCCCTTGTCTTCTGAATTGGGTTCAAAATTACAAGCCAACGGAATTGAACCCAAATCGTTGAGTAAACCCAGTTGAATCGTTGAGTCAGCTGTTCAGTGGCGGCTACAAAATCTGGCTTTTTCTCTCATCAGTATGTTTATCAATAAGACATTGAAACATATTTGCGTGGAGAAAAAGCAAAATTTTCAGAAACCGTAGTTAAGGAGAGGTGGAAAGTGTGGAGTGTGGAGAAATCGCGTGACCTTGGGGCGCCTATTTCTTATAAATAGTATAACGAGTCTTAAATGATGTAAGTATTGAAAATCTTTCTGTTTCCTATAGATCAGAAGTGAAGAAATAGTGAGAGCCTTCGCAGAAAGGTGCAGAGTGGTAAACCCTTTAATTAATGCAATTGTGGATGAGCGGTATGATGATGCTCTCAACGATGCCAGGACTGTGGATAAGTTTTTAAGCAGCACAGATAAGTCCGAAGAGCAAATTGCGAAGGAGACTCCCCTTTTAGGAGTTCCATTTTCTTGCAAAGAAGCCATAGGTGTTAAAGGTAATGAGCATTGTGCATTTTAGTTTTAATTAAATCGTTGTTCAAAACCTTGTCCTAGGTACAATCGATTGCAGAGTGTAAGGAAGAGTAAGTACACTATTAAAAATTGATACTCAAATATCACGAAACTTTNATTTTATTTTATTTTATTTTATTTTATTTTATTTTATTTTATTTTATTTTATTTTATTTTATTTTATTTTATTTTATTTTATTTTATTTTATTTTATTTTATTTTATTTTATTTTATTTTATTTTATTTTATTTTATTTTATTTTATTTTATTTTATTTTATTTTATTTTATTTTATTTTATTTTATTTTATTTTATTTTATTTTATTTTATTTTATTTTATTTTATTTTATTTTATTTTATTTTATTTTATTTTATTTTATTTTATTTTATTTTATTTTATTTTATTTTATTTTATTTTATTTTATTTTATTTTATTTTATTTTATTTTATTTTATTTTATTTTATTTTATTTTATTTTATTTTATTTTATTTTATTTTATTTTATTTTATTTTATTTTATTTTATTTTATTTTATTTTATTTTATTTTATTTTATTTTATTTTATTTTATTTTATTTTATTTTATTTTATT